TGGTCGTGTTCTTTGAGGGCTCGACGTTCACGCTAAACATCGTGAAGCAGCTCCAAAAGGTTTTTTTACTTACTCGATCTTTTTCTGGGTCTTCATGTTCCTCAAGTAAAATTGGTCACCATCGGCCAGGGTCCCTGACGCCCAGAAATTTCGGCCCTTTTCCGTGGAGTAGAAGTATTGGCTGCACACGTAGCTGAAGCCGTCAGTGTTCTAAATCAAGATTTATTCGGCGAGAGAAAGAGAGAGAGAAAGAGAGAGAGAGTGAGTGAGTGAGAGAAAAAAATAGCGAGAAAGAGAGAGAGAAAGAGAGAGAGCAGAGAGAGAGAGAGAGAGAGAGAGAGAGAGAAAGCGAGAAAGAGAGCGAGAGAGAGAGAGAGAAATAGAGAGAAAGAGAGAGAGAAAGAAAGAGAGAGAGAGAGAGAGAGAGAGAGAGAGAGAGAGAACGAGAGAGAGAGAAATAGAGAGAAAGAGAGAGAGAGCAAGAGAGAGCAAGAGAGAGAGAGAGAGAGAGAGAGAGAGAGAGAGAGAGAGAGAGAGAGAGAGAGAGAGAGAGAGAGAGAGAGAGAGAGAAGATACCTTTGGATAAGTTGAGTCGTATAGCAGACCATTGGCTCCTCCGGTGAGGTATCCGGGGATCGGGCAGAGGTATGCTGGAAATCGGGAGTTTGCAAGGCCATTTAGCTATTGCTGCAACGAACTAAGAAATTCACTTGATACATAAAATATTTTAAACTGACCACGCTCATCCTTCAGCTCATGGGTAGAGAAACTGGCCGAGAATTCCGGGGCGTCCTTAGTATACCTTAAATTTTATAAATCAGGTCGAAAACCTAGAAAATTTACTTGAACGCCACGACTTGTGTAGGGGCAATGAACTCAATCTTTTTATCCTTGTTGCCGATCACCCTAAAAATCGGTGGTTTAAGATTCATTATCGTCAAGTTAAAAATGAGCCGATTCGCGTACTCGATGAAATTCAGGCCCAGCACATCAATGTGTGTAAAGTTGAACACTTTTTCATAGTTTTTCCCGGCTTCCATTGATGGGACCTCCAAAACGACACGGACACCGTAGTATTGGTTCGGAGTGACGCTGAAGTCCTAAAAATCGCAATTTTTCCGAGTTCTCAAGATTACCGCTCCATTAGTGACAACTTTATGGACGACGGTGCCGTTGTGCTTGGCAAGGAGGGCCGCATCTTTCTAAAAAATTTTACTTCGGTTTCGTACCTCCAACTTTCATAGCTGTTGGCCGGAAAAAGTTGCTTAAAGGGGGGACGAGTTTTGTATTTTTACAAGCTACCCTGTTATTTATTTGGTAGATATTTATTCTGATGGACAGAGCGTCAAAAATTATACATAGCGATTTATTTTCAGTCCAAAAACCTTATTTACAACCATTTTAAGTTAACTAACCTTCCGGCAAAGTAAAGTAACCATTTCGAATAATGGACGGGCTGAAATTAAACAGCTTAGTATAATTTTGAACGCTCTATCCGATGGCATCAATGCTTATGCACAAACAATAAAGCAAAAGTCGCTTCCACCCCCGTTATTTCTCCACCCCCCCGTTAACCAACTTTTACCTTGTCAGCTTACCGTCACTGCATAACCTAGTTTCTGCTGGCCCGGCTGGTTGGCAATGCTGATGTGAATCCAGTCTTGGTAGGCTAAAAACAGCGACGTAGCCATGCATTAATGATAGGTAAAACCTACCATTCGGTTCGTTTGGATTGAAACTTCCGAACACTGTAGCCAAGAGGGCTACCAGGCAAAGAATTGACCACATTTGTGATCAAATTCGAGCGTAAAATGCTGCAACACGCGTTCGGGCAATCGTTTATAGGCAAACGACAGAGCAAATAAGCTCAAATTTTTTCATTGATAAACACGGAAGTAGCTGCTCCTCCGACAGAAAGCCACGCCCACAAAGACCTTTTTTTGATATTGTGGGGTCAAGGCGATACTAGGGTTTGATGTGAATTTCTGTTTAATTCTTACTATCAGCGTTACCTTTCTCAAACTCTAAACTACCATCTTATTTGTGTTTGGTCATAAATATTTATTAAAGACATATATTCTTCTCAGGGTTAGAAGAGGGAAATGTATCAATTAAAAATGCTCGCATTAATAATTTTTAGCTAATGAAAAATTTATTGAAAAAAATGCCATTTCCTTCATTGCTTGGCCGTGAAGGAGAGGTTGAAGGTGCGCGAGCGGTTGGGCTTTGGGGCTCCGATGAAGTAGAGCACGAACTTCGTGTTCGGGGGCGCTTCCAGGGTGTAGTCGAAGTCGGAGTCGAGCTTCACACTGAAATCAACGGCGTATAAAATCTCTCTCTCTCTCTCCCTCTCTCTCTCTCTCCTCGAAAACCTTACTCGATGCGCTCGTTTGTCTTCAGATTCCTCAAATACAGCCGATCACCATCAGCCAGCACTCCCTTGGCAGCGAACTTGCTACCCTCCTTGTACCCGTCCAACCCGAAGCTGAACACGTAGCGGAAGCCGTCGAGGTTCTATAGAAGTTCAAGCCGTACAACCACTATCCTTAGCCCAACCTGCGGGCACCCTTTTCGTACTGATCACCGATGGGCGTCGTGCCGTCCTTGCCGAGAGCGAGGGCGGGACCGGGGATGAACCAGGCTAAAGGGGAGCACGAGCAGGTACCGGGATTAAGTTCGAAACATGCCATCGCTCTCCTTCTGCTTCGGCATCCTGGGTGCGTTGAAGGTCACCTTGAATTCGGGAGCCTTGTCGGTGTACCTGGAATGCGGTTTTTGCAGTTTTTTTGCAATTTTCGCGAAAATTTGACCACAAAATCCAATCCATCCTTTCCGATCCCTTTCGAAGCGGTGCTTACCAAAATCCGACGTCCGACGTGGGGATCATGAACTCAATCTTGCCGCCCTTCGCCCCAATGACCCTAAACAATTCTTGGACTGTCTGTGGAACAGAAAAAACTCGGCGTAATTCATATGCCCGCCACGCAGACTACGCGGGAATTCGAAGCCAAAGAAGTCGTAGACCTTTCCCTCGACCATGGGGGAGAATTCGAGCACGACATGGATTCCGAACGAGTCCCAGGTTTCAGGGTCCTGAGATGGGATTTAGACTGCGTATTTATTCGTGTTATTAAGTGGAATTATATTATTTGGTGTAGTTAATGGACGCGATGTAAAGCGCATAATAGAAAATTACCTACATTGATGAGTAGCTCACAAATTCTGAAAAACTCACAAACCCATGCCCACCAATCTGATGCACAACTTTTCCGCCGTCTTCCTTCAGCTGGGTCGAATTCTTGGTGAACGTCAACGTCCCTTTTTCCCCATCGGGGATGTCAGCCTGATGCCATTTGTCGTAATCTAGCGCATCAAGAGTCCACAACGAGATCTCCTAACTTGCCGTGCTCTCCGATTCGGGGATCATTGATTGGAGGCGGTCCGCCTCCAATGTTAACTGGATCAATTGAGACAAGAGGTGGTGGAGGGACATCTTCGGCGAGCACCGCCGAAATACAGCCTAATATCAAAAGCGGCAGCATTTTGGGGAATGGACCGGTTGATGGAATCCACACCACAGCGGTCTCGGACCCGGAACACTTCTCTGAAGCTCCGCCCCCTATTTCCCCGGAGAGTTTTTTTTTGGATTTTTTGAAGGTCTCTGGCCGTTTACAGTTTCGACACTCCGGGGAGTAAAGCATTCAAAAACATTCCCCTAGAGGTTTTTTTTCTGTCGATTTTGTTTCGATCAGAAAGCCAGCGATGTAATTTTAAGGGTGACAACATCAGAAAGTTACTTGCTTTTGTAGCCAGCAGAGAGGAGAGCAGAACGACGCTCGCAAAATGTACACTTCGCCCTCTTCTTTTGGCCAGAAAAAAAAAATTGAGACCTCGCTAAATTGACTGAGCGATAATCGGAGAAGAACCTTGGAGAGGGAGCAAGAGAGAGGGGTGAGAGAGGGAGAGAGGAAGAGAGGGAGAGTGAGAGAGTGAAACAGAGAGAGAGAGAATGAGAGAGAGAAAATGAGATCGGGAGATAGAGAGAGCACGAGCGAGTGAGAGAAGGTGTGAGAAAACGACGAAACGAAAGTAATACAGAAAGAGGCATGTCTGAAAGAAATCAAAATTACAAATCTTAGCTTGCTGAGCTGCTTGAAATATTTTGGTTCATATTTTAATTTAGCGTGGTGCATAGCTGGGATTTATTCATCCTGTGCCTGGTTCGAGATTTCAAATCGGCGGTCCCGGTTCGGCTTCTGCTCACCGACAAAATACAGATCGTAGTCTTTTTGTGGCGGGATGTCCATGGTGAAAGCGGTGTTCGGGTCCAAAGCGAGGCTAAACACTACGGATCTTGATGTCTGGCGCCGAGTTTAATAGGCGCATGGAAACGTACCCGATCCTCTCGTCGGTCTTTCGGTGTTTCAAATAGAGCTGATCCCCGTCGGCGAAGAAACCTTGCGCAGAGAATTTACTCCCGAACTTAATTTCGTGTTGGATCAGGTTGCAGACGTAGCTGAGTCCGTCTTCGTTCTAAAGTTATTTCTGGGGTCACGGGTTTTTTTAAAGCATTTTTGGCTTGACTTTACCTTACCCCAGCCTGAGGCTCAAAATTTTTTCGATATTTCCTCTATTTCATCGGAATCTTGCGCCCCATTCGATAGAGCATCGCAACTATCCTAATTAGGGGAGCCCGTTTTAGTGTTAAGAGTAACGGGAAAAAGGGACCCAACCTTAAAAGTTCACGAACCTTGCGTCCGATCCCAATCCGGGAGCTTTTCATCATTCCTCAAGGTCAGAACATAACAGAAAAATTCAAACATTACTGGGGGACTCTGTACAGTGTACACATCCGGATTACGGTGACTACACAATTATTGTCATAATACAATATATATTCATTCCTCGAGTGCAGTACCCTTTTTCTAGCCAAGACGAATATTTATTCATAAAATTACAGTTAACATGGAGCGGAGTTCGGCAAGTTTGACTGGCTCCTATTCTTTATCCTGCTTGGCCACCTCGAACTTCCTGTCCCGGTTTGGCTTGGCCGAGCCGGCAAAGTACGCGTAGAAGTCGGTGTTCGCGGGAAGCTCCAGGGTGATGTTCTTCTCCGGGGTCAATTGTAGACTGAGGTTTTTACCATAAATTCGAAGACGATCATTACGCGATCGTAATTTAAACGAAACCTACTCAGTTCGTTCCTTCGTCTTTTGGTTCCTCAAGTAGAACTGTTCACCATCAGCCAGGATACCGTTGGCCCAGAAGTTTTTCGGAGCCTGCCCACCGAATAATGGGAGACTGAACACGTAGCGGAGGCCGTCGGTGTTCTAAAAAGCACATTTTTCGACAGAATATCGAAATATGTTAATGCGTAAGCAGCTTCTCAAAACTGCGAGCTTACCGCCGGGTAGTCCTTCTTGAAGATGACGCCATTCTGTTCGCTTCTCCCGCCCTCCTCTTTCGGGGTGCTGTATAACGCGCCAAAGTCCGGGGAAGCCAGCGCTGAAAACGGGATTTGTTTAACTTTACTTTTGCCGAGTTTAATTGATTTCTCTATGTTAGCAAACACCAAAAATTTAATTCAATCTCTGGTTTAAAAACCATCAAATTTCCAAAAAAAGCAAAAATACTCACGCACCTCGCCCATTATCGTTGAATTTTTGCATAGGTGGGCTGGTGAAGGTGGCGGTGAATTCTGGAGCGTCTGTGGTATACCTTAACTTTTTTAGGTAAAATTTGAGGGATCAGCATCCAAACTTACTTAAATCCAACGGCACCGTCGGGCATCATGAATTCCAGCTTCTTTTCCTGGACGCCAATAACCCTGAAAAAAATTTTTTGGTGAATTCTTGATCAACTACAAGCTCGAAAAATCCTTGGTCAGTTCGCTGCAGCGGGAGCTCAAAGTTGAAGCAATCGTACAGCTTGCCCTCTTCCATCGACGGGATGTCAAGGGTGACGTGAATACCGTAGTGTATCCAGTTTGCCGAATCCTAAAAACCGGAAATAGGGCTTTAGGCTTGTTTTCTTATGTGTCTCTGCTCGCTTGTCTCGGGCTTGAGCTAGCCACAAACGTCACCAGATGAGAAACGTACCAAAGAATTTCCCAAAACCTCGTAAACGACCGTCCCGTTCTTCTGCTCCAAAAGCTTCGCATCCCGCTTGAGCACAAGCTTCTTATCACCAGCTTCTGGGATTTTGGCACGGATCCAGGCATCGTATTCTGAAAAAACTTTGCACTTTGAAAAGAGACTACGCTACGCTACAAAATCCGCCCAGAATTTGAGAACCTACTGTGCTCATCGGGGTCATTTTCAGTCCTGCTTTCCGGGTAGACTTCCACAATCCGCTCTAGTTCAGCAGCCCTCTCGGTACGGTTGGCCGGTACGTAGCCGTACTCGTGTGCGGGCACATCCGGGTAGACCTGAGGCGCCGGTTGATACACCACAGTTTCGTTGTCGACTGAAATCCCAAAAATCTCTGCAACATTTTCGCCAAGCAACGATGCGCTACGATATGATACGATACGGTATACTATTTGTAGTACATCACGCTAAATTAGGATACGCAACGGTACGTTACGAGACGGATAGCCACGGTATGGTACAAGACGCTACGCTACTATAAACCTTGAAGCATCAAAGATAACACACTCACCAAAATCTCGACGTGGTCGTGACTCTTCGACCGTACCGTCCGGCTTGACGAATGAGTAGTTTGTATTCGCTTCGGGATCGGTGTAGACCTGGGGTGCCGGCTGGTACACCACTGTATCGTTGTTGTCAGCTATAACTGTTAAAATTACGCAACTTAAAGAAAGCAGCGTAAATGTGGTGGGACGGCACGCTACGCAACATGCGACACTACAATGCGCTATGATACCATACGTTAGTATACGTTTCTCTAATACGCCGCAAGAAGGCACCCTACCTTACGATACTGTGGGACACCCAATAATGCTTCTCTTTCCAGAAAAACGCACATTACCTTACAATTTACTATTTTCTTAAACCCCATCGGTTACCATGCGCTACAATACGTGTTTTCGCGAACTTTTACCAAAAATGACTATACCGTAGCACATATACAAAATACTATGATCCGCGACGCACCTGGCTTCACCGTTTTCACTGGCTTTGGCGGCACCGGATCGGTGTAGACCTGGGGCGCCGGGACGTAGACAACCTTCTCATCATCACCCATTAATGCTGAAATAGCGCAAAATAGAAGGAGAAGCCGGAGCATGGTTGCAAATGGCACGGAAAGGGTAAGCGAACGCACAACACAAAATGGACCGACCCGGAACCGGCCCGCCCTAGCAACTGCTGCCTCCTTTTTTTGGGTTGATACTTCCTCAAGGCCGGCCGGAAAGAGGCGGAAAGATTGTTGAACATCTTACGCGGATGTTTGGAGATAGGAAATGGGTCAAAAGCGCTCAAAATTACAGGCATATTCGAACGACCTGCCGGGATATATCGGATGGGATGAGTCAGAAATCATTGATCCGGAGCTCGACCTTCACTTGCTCGTCCCTTTAAATTTGGATCCAAAATGTTATGGAACCAAAATGTATCCGGCGGAACATTTTTGTATGTATTTTACAAAGCAAAAATACTGGGAAAGACCTTGAAAAACTTTATTCAAGACTATTCAACTGCTTTATATGATTAGGGTGGCATGGATGAGTCGTTGAGAAGGATCAGGTCGACAGAGAGAGAGAAAGAGAGAGAAAGAGAGAGAGAGAGAGAGAGAGAGAGAGAGAGAGAGAGTGAGAGAGTGATAAAGGCAGAGAGAGAGAGAGCAAGAGATAGAGAAAGAGAGTGATAAACAGCTAAAAGGATATGGTACGGCCGGAAAAATCGATGGGGAGATCACCAGGTGAAGACCCAGAAATCATAAATAAAAAAAGACAAGAAAAGCTAAAATATATTTCTGGTTTTTACGAATTCAGAATACCATTTTTGCAAAACTATACAGGAAAGGAAGAAAAAAACGGATAAGTACAGAATAGCACGGGGATCAAGGGGGAAGTCGAGCGACTTTGTTCACACTTCGTACAGACAGGCCCGACGGGCTGAGTGGGGGATACGGTATCTGGGGGCAAGGTATCTTAGTTTTCTTTGTTTTCCTCGTCATCTGCATATTCGTCTATTTCTTCGTCATCATCATCTTCACTGGTATCATGAAGATCCCCGATTGTCGCATTCATGAAATCCATCACATCTTCGCCGTCGCTGTCCTCGTCGTCAGTGGGGAAGTTGTCGAAGAACTCTGGGGGCATGTCCCACATTCTGAAAAATTAAGGTTATCCAATTATTTACGTCTTACGTACTTGACGATACTTGCACCTAAACCTACACCCAAACGTTTAAAGTGTCACTCCACTTACCGGTCGACAAACCGAAGTAGCGTCTCGTACTCGCGCTGCATACCCCGGATGCGCTTCGCGTCCTCCATGCATTCGGCCATTTTGTCGCGGATCGAGCTGAAATCGGGTTGTTTCGCCTATCAAATGAGCTCTGCTAACTTGCCAGTTAAACTTGATTTGAACGACTCAAAGGGCTAGGTTAGGCGTTAAAAAACTCACGCTTCTAGTTGAATACAGCCTTCGATCATCTCCTCAGCCTCGCCGATCTCTTGCTCTTGCTGGAAAATCAAAAATCTTTTTAAAGTTTAAATTGTAAATTTGTTGGCTCTCACTCTCTATGTCTCGCTCTCTCTTTCTGACTCTCTTTCTATCTCTCTCTCTCTCTCTCTCTCTCTCTCTCTCTCTTCTCGCTATCTTTCTCCGCCTACTACCTACCCGTTCCATATACTGCTCAGCAGTCTCGCCCTCCTCAAAATTCTCCTTGGACTCGGCCTCGTGCGCCAGATTCTCCCTCATCTTCGTGACGTGTGCCTTGTACACCTGCATCACGAATTTGTCTCCGTCCAGATGTGCACTCGTCGCCGCGGTCATCTGCTCGGCGGTGCTGATGGCGTCGTCCAACTCGTTGCTCCATTCCCCGCGTATCTGGTCCTGGACATAGCTCCGGAGGTCCATTGTGTAGTCGTTCATTTCTTGCTCAGCCGTTTGGTCCGGCATTTTGGGCTAAAAGGAGTGATAGAAGTTACTGAGGGATAAGTAAGTTTGGGAGGTCAATGTCATGGAAGCTATGAAAGTGATTTAAAGGCAAAACTACGGAGAGTGTGAAAGACAATGACTTTTATGGAAGAGCGAGAGAGGTACAAAGATAGAAAATGGGAAAGATAGAGAGCTATTGGGCGGGAGAGAGAGAGAGAGTGGGAGAGAGAAAGAGAAAGGCAGAGAGAGAGTGAGTGAGTGAGAGAGAGCGAGCCAACAAAGCTTCCAAAGCACCACGTGAGACTGCGAGAATGGCTCGACAGTAACCGGTAACACGAGCTTTTCAATACTCCCACAAAAAAATGCAAATCTCGAATCTTAAATGGCGAAACCGTAAACAAACAAACGAACTGCAAATCATTTGTTTTGACATAGAATCACTTTCCAAAACACGGCCCGCAAAAATTATTTTTGAGCGCCATAAAAAAATGAGAATTTTCAAGACGTGCAATAGGTGGAGCAGATCGGGTGAATGAAAGGGCTCAAGGGACATGGAGAGAAAAGCGGGTTTTAGGCTCTAAAGACCAGCTTTTACTACTACCGTAACCCAAAAGACGTAAACCCGGAGTGGAGCGTAGTCATAGGGGAATATGCCGTCGTTCTAGGGAGCCGTCTTGTTCAAAAAATGAGGAGCCGCAGATCATACGAATCAGCTAAATATTCGTTTGGGCAAGAATTTGCCAGAGAAAGTAAAACTTTTAAGAGCTAAGAATTTTTTTAACCTTAAAAATCGGAAATTTTCAAGACGCACAATATGTTGGGCAGTTTGGACGAATCAAAGGGCCGAAAGGGCATTAAGAGGCAAGAAAAATCGAGAATAAGGGCTCTAAGGGCCCGATTTTACTACCACCGTAACCTAGAAGGCGTACGCCCGGATCGGGGCGTAGCCGTAGGGGAAGTGCCGTCGTTCTACGGGGCCGTCTTGATCGAAAACGAGGAGCACCCGGCCAAGGGGGACCCAGGGCAAGGGGAGAGGTGGCATGGGACGACTGGGGGAGAGGGTTGGGCGTGTGTGGACCGCGTGACGAGACAGCACCGCCGAGTGGAGACGGCAGACGGTGCGAAACTCGGAGCGCCCCTAGATAGAGCAGCGGATGTGAGTGGATGGGCCAGAGATACAGCCCACCACAATTGGCGAGACGAGGCGAGGAATATAGGGCCTGAGGATAGGCGGGGTGAGTGAGGGAATAGAAGGGGGACTGTGCACCTGGATGTGCCCCTCCTCCTCCTCGTCCTCGCCTTCTAGCCCCTCCTCGTCGCTCCAGCCGGGGAGCCCCTCCTCATCGGGCTCCATCACCTCCAACCACTGCCCATACCAACGCAACGATTCGGTGTTGGTTCATGGATTGAGAAGTGGGGGGGAAGCTGATTTGAAAACGGATAGGTGGTGAAGCCAAAAATTTGAGAGCAGATGAGACAAAGAGAGAGAGAGAGAGAGAGAGAGAGAAAGACAGAGAGACACATAGCCATAGAGTGATTACGAGAGAGACGACGTGAGAGAAAGAGAGCGAGAGAGAAAGGCGAGAGAGAGAGAGAGAGAGAGAGAGAGAGAGAGAGAGAGAGATGTATGGAATTTTACCGGTATCTGTGTCAAAGCGTCGATAACGAAAAAGACGAATAGGAGAGCCCGTTTTGAGCTAATAAACTAATAAAGCTCTGTAAAATCCTTCCCCGAAAAATAAATTGTACACCCTCCTCCTTTTCCTAAAGCAATCGTGACGATTGAAATGCCCAAAAGATTAATGGCGTGCTCGGTAACCCAAGATTGGAAAGCCGATAATTTAGGTCAAGAGGCTCAGGGTGGAATTTGGGGCGTAATTTACCGTCATGAATTTCTCTCAAAGGGATAACGAAGGTCCGGTAGAACAGGGCTCATCTATAATTGGCGAGGAGCCAACTGGAAATGCTACCGCAAAAAAATGGGGAGATTGTGGGCGAGGAAAGGGGAGCAGAAAAAATTTATGCTAGTTTTAGAGCTAAAGCCCGTTTCAAGCTAATTTTTCTGGGCCTTCCTGGTCCCTTTAAAGGTATTCAAGATCCAGGAATTCTAAGTTTTAGCCTTTCCACAAGATAAAGATGGTTCTCAAACGCCCGACAAGACAAATAGCCCGCTACTTGCCCCCGGTGACTGGGGCCAATCGACTGATTCTGAGGTGGGTGGCTGGTGTATGGCAGCCGGTGGAGTGTGAAGGGAATGAAGTGAGGGTGGAGACATGCGCGCGCGTGCCCGGGGTAGAAGCAACAAAAACACATATCGACCCGATGTGAGCAGGAGGGCGAGAAGGAGGGATGAGATCGGTTGCCTGTCTATCCCCGGCGGGTATAGAATGCGAAGCGTATGGGGAATCTATGCAAAAAACCAATTCACCGAGCGCGGAGGCTAGAAGCCTGAAGCGGCGTGGAATTTTAGCTAGACCTTTACCTTTCCTCCAAATTCCAGTCCCCCAAATTTTTCGAAGCTGCCGGTATTTCGTCAGAATTTAGGTCACGCCATTCGATAGAGCATCAAAAAATATGCTAAGAATTTTAATTACATCCCAAATTAATGCAATACAAAAAGTTATAGCAAAAAACTTTTAGAACTTCCCTCTGGGTGAGAGGGAAAGTTAATTCTGGCCCGAATTTTGGAAATAACATGTTTTCTATAAAAATTTAACGACAACGTAACTGTTCGGTTTTTCACTTCAAGACTTTCTTACGTTCTCCGTACCGTCCTGCTCACAGCCTTTGCCACAAGCTTTCGGGCTTCAAGATCTCAGCATCGCCTTTGAACTCCGCAAGCCCTTTTTGCTGTACCATACTACAGACCGGAAATTATGCGGGCGGGACGGGATGGCATCGGGCGAGAAAGAATCGGGACCCGTTGCCTTGGCCACCCTCCCAGATTTGTAGCTGGTATAGCCCATTTGCATAAATTAAAAATTTTGCGAGACGACAGATTTTGTAAGTCGAGCATATCGTTCAAATAGCGGAAATTAAGAAGCGAATCTAACAAAAATCGAAACCAGATTACGGTGGTAATGGTACTACCGAAATTCTTCTCTGTTACGGTAGATAATAAAATTACGAAAGTTCTGGTTTTCTCGCTCTCTCTCTCTCTCTCTCTCTCTCTCTCTCTCTCTCCCTCACCTTCGCTCTCTCCTCATCGGTCTCTCGCTATTGTCGTCACGCTCGCGCACTTTTATACGTTCTCTCTACCTTTCGTTATCTCTCTCTTTCTCTCTATCTTCTCTCTCTATCTCTCTCGCTCGTTCTCGCTCTATCTCTCGCTTTCTCCCTCACCCTCTCGCTCACTCTCTCTCGCTCACTCACTCTCTGCTTATCTCTATGTTGCTATCGCGCTCTCTATCCCTTCATCTAGCTGTTTCTCTCGCTATCCAACTCTCTATCTCCTCTCCTTTCCGAAGACTATAAATTTCGCAGCTCGAATAGTACGTCTCAATCCGCCCCGTCCACCCCCAGTTTCAGTGATGGAATGCAAATGCGAAGCTGTCTGTTGGGCCGTTCTCTCACCCACTTCTTCTTCTTCTTCCGAGGTGTCAGTATTTGCACTAGGGCCACAACCACAGCCTCCAGGGCGTCTTCTCCCCCCCTTGGGCTGAGGACCCGAACATCTATGAAGTGGCCGCTGTCCGTTCCACTCCGTTCGAACAGCATTCGGTTTCATCAGTCCGCTTCTGCGCAAATGGTTGTCGCTCTGATTTGTGTAGGCTTGAATTGCACGGGTTTGGCTCTGAAGTTGCGAGGGTTCGGGTGTCCCGCATGGAAAAATTTTGGGGGTACGGTAAGAGCATCGAATTACGAAACGCTACGAATTTCTAGCCTTACCGTGATTTTAAACCTCCAATCGTGTGGACATCCTTCGTTTTAGGTAAGTTTGGCGTTTTGAGAGCGATACATAGCTAGTTCGGTACAGGAAAAAAACCTTTTTTGCTTATGGCGCTCTCCAAATCTGTTAAATGAATTTAAATTAGATTTTAAATATTAAATTTATTTTAAATGTAAGCCGATTGTTGAAACTTCATTTTTCTTGCCCTCTTTGACACGTATGCTCTTTTTAAGCGTTCTTTTTCCCAATTAGGTTAAATAATTTCTAGTATTTTTGGCGATACGGTATAGCTCATCTAAGTATAAATTGACATTTTGATTAAATCACGTTGTCAAACTTTTCAATGCGGAATTTTCAAGGCCGTCACAGGAAATTTTCTCGTATAGTGTAGTCATCCGGCAATTTTCGGAAGTTGGCATCTTTTTAGAATTTCAAGCTCTATCGAATGGGCTAGGTCGCCTAGTTAAATGTCTAAAACCTGCTAAAAAATTTTCCACGTAAGATCGTCGTAAGATGCTCCCCCGATTGGCGTAGCCAAAATCCCGACAAAATCTCGGAATTCTCGACAAATTTTGGGAATTCCCGGTATTTTTTGTAAAGTCCGACGACGACGATTATTTTTTGGATCATGCCTTTAATCTAAATTCATCAAACACATCATGCTCCTCAAAATGATCGGAAAAAACGTGTTCCGCTGCTCCAGAATCACGACTCAGACTCTCCTAAACTATACCGTATCCTCCCGCGCGGGCACGCATATATTTAATCCCTGGGAAAACGCGAATTCCCCGGGTGTATTCTCCTTCCGGCGGCCGGCCGATTCTTTGTGATGTTGCACCTGGACCTGGGTCCAAGGAATTTTCAGCAACGGTCGCCCAAAGCCCCCCAGGGCGGGCAAACGCGACTGGGACACATAATAGTGTGAACAGGGGCGGGGCGTGTGACAAACATGGACTGCAGAAACGCGTACCGTCAAACACACCGGATGCGCGCTACAGGACCCAGCCCCCCCCCCCCCGCCACAAAGCGCAAAGTTGCGAATGGCTCCTGCGCGCGGCGCGTTGGCCTCCGCCTTCCGAAGCGCGCGCGCCCTTCAGAAGTTTCACTTTTCCGCGCGCGCGCACCTCGAAAAGGTGCGGAGTGTTGCCTAAAAACTGACCCAACTAGTGTTGCCTTGCAAAGGGTTCCCCCTCCGGGGGTTCCGCACGGCCGTTTTTGCCTGAACTTTTGTTCTCGGACCTAGAAAAGTGGACCAGGGACGGGGGGAGGACGCAATTTTGCTTGTAGACCTCCATTGTGGTACTATATTCAAGTTTAGTAGTTTTCCGCGTTTTTCCTAGCGCTGCGATACCTTTTCAGGCTGAAATCTGGGGGATTTTACTTCCGAACTTGGATTTTGATGTTGTATAAGTTTTTTTTGATCTGTTACGGTAATTCTCTTCGCCTTTCAGCGCTATCTCTATAGCTTAAGCGCTAATTTTGCCGATTTCCCTTCTAACCTCCATTTTAATGCTGTATTCGCTTTTCATGATGAATGACGGTAATTCTCCTAACTTTTCACTCCGTTTTCTGTAGCTTAGGCCCTAAATTTTCGGGAAGGAGCTTTTCAAGGCTGTTACTGTCATTCTAATATCTTCTCCGTTGGTGGAGAAAATGAATTTCCAACGAAAGGGACTTCTAGGCCTCGAAATCGACCCCTTCGCGCGACTGGGCCTCGCCAGTTACGCGCCATGCTAATGTCTGGCTTTGAAAATTTTGTGCCCCTTAAATTTATCACCTTTTTTTAAACGGCAGTAAGAGCAATTCCTGGATGTCGAGATCCAGCAAAAAATAGGGTAGAATTGCATGTTTTTAAGCCATTAGCCGTCGAAACCCCCGGATTCGGTATCGAGCTGCGAATTTTTGCTGAATGAGCATACTTTTTACCTTTTCAAGCAAAGAAATGGGTAGATTTTGGTATCGTAATCGTTTAGTAGGCTCTACCGTGCGCCAGAATTACCGTAAATCGCTGTAAAACTATACTACTATACTCCCACCCCCAATTCTGGCTCCTGATCTTTTTCCCACCGCGTTCCCATGTGTTTTTCCCGGTTCCCAGCCCCTTCTTCCTCTCAGGGTTCAGGCGGGGGGGGACTGGGGCCAAACTGTTGGATCAAAGTGGAGATCCGCCCGGGTGGTGGGCCCTAAGAAAGAGGGCCCAAAAGGGGCCCCCGGATGGGCATTGTCCCCCCCTTGCGGATCTTCAGAGAACGCGTTGAGTGCGTGCTTTTCGGAAGCTTCTTACAGTCCCTCCCAATCCATAGGCCCGAGGGCATCGTTTTTCGGGGGCGATGAACGCGTCCACTTCCAGCCTCCGGACACACCTTGTGGCCTGTTTGCCAGACGCAAATCCCGGGCAGACAATCCGTTTGTTTCGCCGGCCCCACACTCTGGGGTGGGGGGGGCTCAAGCATTCGAGTTCGGGAACGTTTCCAGGGGGCCAATGAACACTTTGCTTCTCGTCCTGTCTTTGGTCCGTTTACTGCGATTTATATAACCTTAAAAACATCAAAAAATATTATATACCTTTGAAAGTCTGCTTAATAACCCGCTTAATAATAATTCAATACCCTAAAAATTTAAAAAGCATCCGCTTCTACGATATTACGATGCCTCTTTCAAAAGCTGAAAAATTTGCTTTTTTTTCCAAAGTTTTGTCGAAATTCCGTTTAATAAAAATTATATAGTTTTCGAAAGCTTTCAAGAACATCCGGGTAAAAAAATCGAATACCCTCTGCCGGCGTCCAGAAAATCCGTTTAATAGTAACTGCATACTGGTTAAAAGTTTTGATGAAATGCCTTTTAAATTAGCTACCTTTGGAAGGTCTAAAAACCTATCACGGCAATGACTAACGTCTTCAAAACCAAGGATCTCACTCCCTAAAACCCAAACTCCCCTTCTTTGATTTTTTTTTGCTCCTGCGGTTCCATTTTCACTATTCAAATCGACCTATTTAAGCCATGCCAATTTTGCGCCACTTCCAGAACGAAACAAAACGCAACCAGATGCGGTCGTTGGTGGCGGTGCTCCTTTGTTCCGCATCTATACTCGCCTACCCGCGATACGGCCAGTACGATGCGGTGGATCGCGAAATTAAGGAGAAGCTCGTAGCGGAGATCGTCTCCGAGACCCTGCAGAAGAAGTCAAAATCGCAGAAGGAGGATTTCGAGGTGAGAGTCGATATTAAAAATCTATTATTTGCCCAGTAAAAAACCGCTGAAAGTCAAATAGTGCGTAGCTACAGCGCATGACGTTATTTAATGTCGTAATCGAGTATAACAACCTTTTTTTCAGGTTCAAGGATTCGGGTGTGATCTCTGCGTGAGCACCATCTACAGCATCAACCATAACATTGCTCAAATGAAGGTAAAAAAGTTAGCTATCTGCTGGTAAATTTCAAGTTTTAGTTTGTCCCTTAAATATACTTTTTTTAATTCATAACTTTATTTGAAAGCCTAATGCCAATATTTTTAGGCTTCCGCTGAAGATATGGTCAAGAAAGATTGCGAAGCTTTGTTTGGAGGTGATAACGAAGCGGTTGCTACCTGTATCTCGTTGATGATCGACAAAATCGAGGAGTACTACGAGAAGGTATAAAAACTCACTATTTCTGATAAAAATTATTTTTATATTAAAATAACATCCATATTTTCAATTTTCAGATCGAACCAATGATCGACACGAAGCGATTGTGTGTCAAAATCGGAATGTGCGTACGTAAGGAGGACGAGGATCCGATTACGGTAAATTTTTCATAGCTTTTGCGACCGTTTCCTTATATTCCGCAAAATACCTATTTTTAGACGTCCACCATCAAGCCCGTCACAAACCCACCAAAAACCTCGAGCTCCTCGAGCTCCTCCGCCTCCTCAGAAAAATCCAGCAGCTCCAAATCCTCAGAAGAAAAGCCCGTTGTCAAGAAACTGATCATCACCCCCGAAACCGCTCAAATCAACTCTATCATCGAAAAAGTCGAAAAAGTCTTCTCAGGCCTTTTCTAAAAAACGACCCTAGCGCTCTCGACCCCCCCCCCCGCCCAATCATTCCATTTTTATGAAAATTTGTACTGGAAGTTGCCAGTACACGCATGTAACTAGTATCTAGTTGTATTGGCAGGGTGCCAAGTGACTATGTCTTTCAAAAAGTGCTCTCAGATTTAAATGTGATATCCGTGCATTTGAGAAGTAATAAAAAGTGAGTACTGACTACCGATGATTTTGCCCTTTCTACTGGCGGCTCGTGAGATATTTATTTGCACAAAATCTATTTCCATTTCTTAAACCTTGGCCATAAAGAGAGCGAGAGTAAAAAATATATATATAGAAAGAGAAGGAAAGAGAGAGAGAGAGAGAGAGAGAGAGAGAGAGAGAGAATGAAAGAGGGAGAAAGAGAAGATATAGATAGAAGACAATATCAGAGAAAACGAAACGAGGGCCTTATCCAGAGGTAGTGAGCTGGACTTGACGGATTCGACCCTCGATCCGAAGTATCATTCCATCATCCCGAACATGTTTGGTGGCATTCAGCTTAAGTCGACCGATCCCATCCGAAAGTACCGTGATGGAACCAATTTCCCTTTGATGGTCTAACCACTCGGAAATGAGCTTCCGGACCGCATTCTCAACCCATCCACCCTCCGAATTCTGTATGGTCAAGGTCCAACACCTGTTCTGGCAGGCCAGCCATGCCTGCGGATCCCCATCATGATTTATGTAAAGTTGCTCAATCCGTTCTTTCGCAAATTCAAGAAATTCCGACGTCGGCTGAGAGCTATAAACGTACACCCGATCATACCAGCCTTTTTCCGGCAGGAATTCGTTCAGCATCTGAATGTCGAGCCCTGGTGGCCCGTCCGTTAGTCGTAGGCTCAAGATTTGGGCTTTTAATCCTTGAATTTTCGAAATAGCGCTACCCCTCACTAGCCCGATATGCCACAACTCGGACGCCGAAAAAAGCAGCTCCATCGTTGCTGTCGGGTAAATACGAGGGGTCTTTGCTAGGCCGTGAACTCGAAAACCTTCGGGACAATATTCGATCCGAGCATAGCCAGGACGGCGAGGGCCATTCTTCACCACCTGCCACGCTTTCTTGCAGGTGCGGGCAAGACGGAAGCGGGTGTGGTGATCGTAGCTTTGAATGTATTGTTGGATATGGCGGTGGACCTCGGGCGGCAACTCCACGAAAGACATGTCTGGAAAGTAGATGTGTAAGCGGAGCTAGAGGGAGAAAGAGGGGGAGAGAGCAAGAGTGAGAGAGAGGGAGAGAATAAACCCAACCCCAGAATCCCGAAAAATATGGTGCAAGCGGTCGTCAGAGGCCATTGCTGTCAAATTTTCATCCGATCGAAACGAGCGATCGATTTAGCGCCAAAATCGCCTATCCATGGGCCACCTGCCGGAGTAACCTGCGGGCACTATAATTTCCCCGTGATTGATCGGTATGGATCAAACTAAATTTCGGTAAAATCCAGAGCGACTGCAGAAAGGGAGCTCGGAAGGCGAGAGTGCGGGAGTGCGAAAGTGCGAGAGAGAGAGAGAACCAGACAACAACACTGTACTTCTTTCGTATTCTTTTCGTGCTGTGTCATCGTGGGTCATGGTTTAAAAAAGGTATACCTGTGTTTTTGTTGCAAAAAAACTTATTGGTTTATTTTAATTCTAAAATAAAATTTTGGTGAATATTTGTGTTCAAGATTTCAATAACAAAATGAGCAAAACATCAAATAATCCGACATAAAAGGCTAGACATCTGGCTCAACGACCCGAATCGTGTAAAAGCCGTTTTGTGACGAGACGCGAAGAAGCTTGCGATCGTCCCGGACGTATTCTTCTACAACTTCATTCCAATCATGGTGGTACAAGATTGAGGCTTGGATCACGATCTTCTTAATCTCTCTTTTAAAATCCTTCCATTCAGCAATGATTTGCTCCACAAAGTCGTCGGCAACTTGTCTACCAACACTCTTCAAAATTAGATTCCATTCCTTGTTCTTGCACACCAGCCACTCCACAAAGTTGAATTACACCCAGATATTTGCAACTTCTCAGCCCATTTTCGGGCAAATTCACAGAATTCGAGCGTGGGCGGTAGATCAAACACCTGCACATCGGTATAGCCCGCTTCTGGCATAAACTCTTGGAGCAATTTCATGTCAATTCCATGCAATAATTTTAGCCTTTGCGCCTTCAGCCCCTTGGCCTCCAATTTGAAGTTTAGCCTGCATATGTCGAAGAGCCGGACCTTGGCCGTCGAAAAGAGAAGCTTGAGTGTGTCCTGGCCGCGAAACCTGGCGCAGAAACCGGGCTTGCAATACTTGCCGATCATGTAACCGCTCGGGTACGCATAGATTTGGTACGGAGACTTGTGGCGCGGACCATTTTCCACGATCTTCCAGGATTTTTTGTAGGTTCTGGCGAGCCGAAAGCGCGAGTGGAGGTCTTCAAAATCGAGGTAGTGGAAGATGCTGTGGTGGACCTCGCGTGGCAATTCCAGAAAGGACATTCCTAAAAGCAGGATTTTTGGAAAGGTGAAGCGTTCAAGAAAACACAGAGCGAGAGAGAGAGAGAGAGAGAGAGAGAGAGAGAGGGAGAGAGAGCGTGAGATATCGCCAGTGTGATCACGGCCAGAAAGTTTCAAAGATATCTGTAGTGGTTGTCAATGGCCGCGCCGCCGTAAGCGCCTTTCACTCTGGTGGAAAAATTGGCGTACTTCGGGTTCGCCAATAATGTGCGAACGCCTATGAGGAAATTAAAGACCGCCAGAACGATCAAAATTTCGTTAAAAGCAAGAAGTTGCGCACCGGGCGGGGGTCGAACCCGCGATGGTCCGCTCCACAGTCCGACGCGCTAACCACTATACCACAGGTCCGAGTGGAGAAGGGAGTCAGAGGCGTCCCAAAACCGAGAGGGCCTTTGCCCACTACGGGGCGCGACTAATGACGCCTCTCTCTGCGCGTTCTTGGGGGCAGCACCCTCGGGGTGACAGTGCGCGTTCCATCGTTCTGGTAGTCTTTAAGCCGTCGTCAGATGCGAGCGAGGCATGAATGATGGAGAGCCTTGGAGGCGAATCAACCGACCCCCATCGATTTTGCGTAAATCTCTTTCTGCACGAAGATTTTGATATAGCCTTAGGTGATCCCTACTGGTGCTCAAGCGAATCCGCCACGCCATCGGTGTTGCTTGCAAATTGCGGTGCCGAGGGGCTTTAGGTTTATCTGCACTGGAATTCGATGTCAAGATACGGCATTAGATCATGAGATATGTGAAAAATACGGCTTTGGACGATAGTACAGGGTGTCCCAAGAAAAGCACGCCTCTGAGAAAGTAAAAACGTACTAAATACGTCCGGAAGCTATGAATAATTATAATATCCGTGAATTTGTGTTGTTGGAAAGTTATAGCTTTAATACGATTTATTCAGCCTCAAACCCCTCGAGCCACCGGAAATTGTTGTCAGCCGAGAAGACGAGCATCTTCCCGTCGGCTCGTCGGTAGTCGCGAAGCTGATGACGCCGATTTTGATGGACCCGACTCCAGGGTCGAGTGACGGCAATGCTGATAATTTCTCGTTTATGATCCATCCATTCCGCGATGAACCGATCGATACATTCGTCCATTTGACCCTCATCCGGACTTTCCAAGCCTATCGTCCACATCTTGTGCTTGCATTCCAACCAATGGGATAGCTCGTTGTTAGTAGAAATTACGAGCTTTTTCACCCATGTCTCGGCAAAATCAAGGAATTCCGGAGTTGGCACGGAGTCGACAATGCTTAGTAATTGATATCCTTCGACTGGCATTAATCTCTTCAGCATTTCCATTTCAGAACTTGAGAAATTTTCGTTCAATCGCATCCGCAACACTGGGGTCTTTAGCCCAGAAATTGTCCAAACAACCTCCCTATCCGAAAGGTCAACTTCCGGGACGTGGGCTGTTGAGAAGAGCAGCTTCATCGTCTCCTCGCTATCAATCCGGTGCACCCAGTCGACGATTCTGTGGATTCGAAAATGTGCTCCTATCGCTGTAAACGTCAGCCGGGACTCGTACCGCGGTCCATTTTCGATCACCTCCCAGCCTTTTCGACACGTGCGAGCGATCCGGAAGCGCGAGTGAAGGTCGTCGAGCCCGATGTGGCGCAGAATACGGTGGTGCACTTCGAGCGGGAGCGTCAGGAAGTTCATATCTGGAAGAAGACAACTTTGATATGACTTTGGTTGGGTGTTCCATAAATTGACAAGCCTTGATGGCTTAATTATAGCAGAAAAAAATGTTCAACATTCGTTAAAGAAGCAGTCTTTAACGTCTTTCTGGGTATCCGGAAGGCCGATAGTAATCACACTTGATCTACAATTAGCAAAATGACAACCGGAAACGCTATGCAAGAAATTATTGAAAAAGACAAGAGGGTAAGTGGGACTAGAGCAGATTTAAGCTAATTGAAAGACTACGAGAAGTTACTTGCTGATTTCGTTGAATTCTAAGGGGTTTTTTTGGTATGTTTATAGCAAAAAAGTGGGTAGTCAAAATCCATCAAAGTAGATTTCTTTCAAAAAAATAGGTGGACAAAAACAATAAGCTCGGAAACCAGGTCCTTTGACGGTAATTGATCGTGGCTGTATGCTTCCGAAAATCATTGGGCAAACATTAAAGGTAAGGGCGAGAAATATGAACTATTGACCATCTGCGTTTTGACCTCCGGGCAGAATGCGAGACACCTATTTCATAATATAGTAGTTATCTTAATATTCCTTTTAGTAAGAAGTCGAGCATATGCAAGCTTACTAGCTAAAAAGTTATCTAATTAAACTTCAACCAATTCAGTTAAAGATTTTTTAAACTAGATTGTAGTCACCTTTCCTCAAATTTCAAAGTCAATTCCGAAAGTTGACATTGCGCAGAACGGGCCCGCCCGACAGAAAATCGGCACAAAACGCTACGCAATGCACCTATTTGCACTCAACCGCCCTGGCGCATGTGAATTTGGCGATGAAGGGGGAAGAGCAAACATCACGGAAACGGTCGACGATCAAAAAGTTTTTCGAGAATTTACATAACGAGGGGAGTTAGAAAAATTTTTTAAAGTGCAGGGACGGTAAACAACATGCAAAACATTATAAGGCCGGGATTCCGCGAGGCTCCGTATGTCGACGGTACAACTCCCGGTGAAATGGAAAAACGACTACCGGCCAGCCGAGTGCAAGCTCAAATGTCACTTGGGGTATAAATTCAAATGTGTGTTTTTTTTTGTCGTGACGGGTTCTTCACTCTGACGACAACTTCCGGTGCATCTTTTTGTAGATTTTCCCCAACTACGATTTTTGGTCACTATTCGTGCAATGTCGATTATGTGCGAATTGTTATATGAATGTGAATTTTACGAATTTTAATGATTTTCTGCAATTATTGTCATCACTCGCACTCACGATATACGCAGCAGATCAGCAAACTACACTCCCTTGTTTGGCTCGACCACCCGTAGTCTGTCCCTCTTATCACTTCTGCTGATTGCCCACCCCCCGTTCTGTCCCCCACTTTTCGAATAGCTCCACATGGCTCGTGTCAAAGTTCTCGACGCAAAAATAAGGATACCTTTTTCAGTTTCAGTTTTGCCGTAGAATCGGATACGTGATGCCTTAACAAGCCTTGTTAAGCTACCTGTAGTCCCAATTCACAGCAAAAAAAATCCTTTTTAGATCTCTGCGCTTTGTAAATTTGGTTGATATCTTATAAACTATTTGCCAAAGAGCGCCAGGATTTGGTTTTTATTTCTTCTACTTCAGCACGTTTCAAGGACCATTGCAGGGAACCAAGCAGCCAAAACTACTCAAAAAAAACTATTCTGTAAACTCCAGAAAATCCTAAATTTTCGCAAACTAAAAATCCACGTAAACTCTCTAATGTTTTTTTGGAGTTCTATGACTATTTTATGGCCCAATAGGTCCTACTGTAATTTAGCCATCTGCAAAAATGGTACAGCAACTACGCTACGACGGCAAGGTGGCCATCGTCACCGGGGCTGGCGGTGGTTTGGGTAAAACGTATGCCCTCGAGCTGGCCAAGAGGGGCTGCAAGGTTGTGGGTAAGTATTTTAACACACTTTAAATACCGTGATTAGCATCAGTTTTAAATCTGTTACCTACATTTTCTATCTTTAGTAAACGACCTCGGTGGTGACCGTCATGGTACCTCATCTTCTACCTCGATGGCCGATAAGGTAAAAGACGATCAAGAGCTTGAAAAAATCGTAAAATTACAGGTTTCCGCCATGTTAAAAAACTTTTTATACCTTTTAAAGGCCAAAAATACGTTACTTAGGTCGTCCAAGAGATCAAATCCGCTGGCGGGCAAGCCGTGGCCAACTACGACTCGGTGGAATTCGGCGATAAGATTGTGAAGACGGCCATCGATAGCTTTGGCCGAATCGGTAAACAAGCCTTTCCAGAAAATGTTAAATTGGAAATAAAGCGTTGAAATTAAGCAAGAACGGCTTTTTAGACATTGTCATCAACAATGCCGGAATCCTGCGCGATGTGTCGCTTCTCAAGATGCAGGACGTCGATTGGGGTGCGTTTTAAAGGGATTGAGGAGGCAAAAAAAAAAACAATTTTATATATTCAGAATCTGTCCATTAAGTTACTATCGATACCTTCCAGATCTTATCTACAAGGTTCACGTGAAGGGGGCTTATTCGGTGACCAAAGCCGCCTGGCCTTACATGAGGGATCAGAAGGTATGAAATCCATAATTTTGAGGTATCCGCCATGCTTTTTGATGCTTATTTATGCCACTTAAAATGAAAAATTTTTCGAGAGCACATTGCGATGACAACGCTCTCAACAGCTTCAATACATTTTCAGTACGGCCGCATCATCGTCACCTCATCCAACGCAGCTATCTATGGCAACTTTGGGCAAGCAAACTATTCTTCAGGTATCGTTTTAAAGTAATGTTTATACCATTTTCACAGCGAAATCCGCCCTGATCGGATTCGCCAACGCATTGGCGAAGGAGGGCGAGAAGTACAACATTAAGGCCAACACCTTGGTCCCAACAGCTGGATCTAGGTTGACACAAACGGTCATGCCCGAGGTAAGCATTAAAAATACGAAATGGAAGGTAATGAATCCGCAAGCTCGCAAAGATTTTTATGCAAAAATCGAACTATAAATGCTTAATTTAAGGACCTTGTCAATGCCCTCAAACCCGAGTACGTCACTCCCCTTACCCTCTACATGGTTCACGAATCGTTCCCGGAAACCGGCAGAGTTTTTGAGGCCGGAGCAGGATGGTATGGACAGCGTAAGTTATACCTTACCGGCAACGACGTATGATAGATTCGTTCGAAACAAGCTAATACCTTATTTTTAGTGCTCTACTACCGCTCCAACGGCAAGGTCGTCCCCCATGCATCTGTTGAAGATGTCGCCAAGAACTGGGAGCAGATCACGGATATGAAGGGGGCGCACAGCTTGTCCTTCATGAAAGGTAGGTTGGAAGCTGAAGGACCCTATAGACATGTAGATTTATGCAAATTTTGGGTTTTAGATGCTACTGCTCATCTTATGGACGCACTGGCTGCCCAGGAAGAGGAGGTATGGCTTTTTAAGCTGGATTTTACTAAGAATTTAAAATCTAAAAAGTCGACAGCTCATCCTACTATATATAAAAAAATAGTGTGTGTGTGTGTGTGTGCATTTGCATGCAACTTCCGTCAGGTTGTTCCAGTAGTATCTCAATAAGGGGAGTCGTTAAGGGTATCAACTATATGTTTGATACGTCATTAGGTGCGTAATGGCCTCGGGATGACTGCACACCAATCAAATTTTCAAAAATGAGCAGTTTTCGACGTTAAAATTAAGTTTTTGTTGAAAAATGGGCCACCCTCTTTGTTAGGAAACAATTAGCATACGCCGGAAGTTGCGGTAGCCTATATAAGAGAAGGAGAGGTCGCGTTTCTCATTTTTTGTCATCGAAAATCGTGAGAATTATGCACAGTGAAGAATATTATCGGATCAGACGGGGCCAGGGTTGAAAAGTCGCGAAGCGGCTTTTCAACCCTGGTTTAGACTTTAATTTTTAATCGAATAGTTGAAAGTAACAACTATTCTAACTTTAGAACGAGAAAAACGGCACTTCCGGCGGTAGTGGCGGCTCCGACGACTTCCCCTCTGACATCCGCTCCTCCGCCCTCTTCAGAGAAATGAACGAGGGCGTCCAGAAGGAGCCGCACCTTGTCAAGAACGTCAAGGTATCGGAACGTACCCTTACTAGAACGTTTTTACTGTTCAGGCTATCATCCTCTACTCGATCACCGACGGCAAGAACGAGCTCGGGAAATTTAGTGCGTGAATCGGGCTAAATTTGTAATATTAAAATTTCAGCCCTCGACTTCAAGTCGGCCAACCCATCTGTCTATTATGGGGATATCAAGGGCGGAGAAAAGGCCACGACTACGGTTACGGTATCCGACAACGATTTTACTGAAATCGCCGCCGGAACGCTGAACCCGCAAAAGGTATATTGACGAGCTTAATAACAAATCGTTGAAATTAATACGAATTGCTTATCATAATATAGCTTATATCGTTTAGAAAAAGTTTTTATTACTGGCTAAATTGCTATTAAGTCCATTTTCAGGCGACTACTAAATTTTTGATAAACTTAAATTATTTTTTTCAGGCCTTCATGTCCGGCAAGCTAAAGGTCAAGGGCAACATCATGCTCCTCCAAAAGCTCCAGGGACTCATGGACTCGAAGAAGAAGTCCAAACTGTAAAGAACCCCAACTGTACTTGTGATTTTTGTAATATATTTCAAAAATGCCATTTATTGCGATTCGTCGTGAAATAGATTTGCTGATAAAGGTTGACACTTTTAGAGAGTGAACTTTTGAAGGTTGACGCTGTGAAAGCAGCCGAAATTTTGTACAGTAACCGGAAGAGGCGAAAAGGAAAAGGGCAATTTTTAGGGGAGAAAGCAGCAAAAGATGATAGTATCGAAACGGAATAGTGGAAAATGGAACTTGAAGACATTGAAAATACGGTGAAAACTGTAGAATTTAAAAAGCATTAATATCGTGTGTTAAGGCCATGGACGAGCTGGTTCGTCAGCTGATCGATATCGTCGTTACCGCCACGGTGCATGGTTTTTTGGCGGATTTCCTAAAAATCACGAATATTTTTTGCATCGCTCTGTTGCTCTCCCTCGCGCTCTCTCTCTCCTCCTTATCCTCCTACCTGAACGCGATGGCTAGAGTTCGGGTCCCTCTGGTTCAACGCATCCAGATGGGTGTTGGCTTCACGTTGTGAGTGGGTCATGGCTGAAATTTATGGTATTTCTCCGTCTCTCTCGCGCTCTCTTTTTGCCTCTTGCTATCTCTCTCTTCCTCCCTCTCTCTTGCTACAGAAACTCACTCTCATCCCTCAAATTCCGCACAAAACGATTGGGGGAAACGACGCCGCTGTTCCCACCATGGCTCGACGAGCCATTCTGGACTCGGTACGGGGCGTACGGGGCGAACCTACGAACGCCTTGGTAAATTTTGTCTTTCCCTAACAACCTCTGCTCGGTCTCCTGCGTCTCCAGCGTGCTGTACATCGACTTGACGCTGGTGTGCTTTGTCAGTGGGGTGCCGTCATCGAGCTAAAAAAACTTAGTTTGCTTAGGGTCATTAGAAGCACAATCCTATGCTCTTGAAGATGGGGTGTAGCCACTTACGCCCATAGTAGCAATCGGAGTCGTCGTGGCAAATTGGTGGATAAGCTCCCGGGGGTTTGTGATCAAATATCCGGTCTTGGTATCGACGACACGGTAAGGGTCGAAGGTGGAGGCAGCTGAAAATTAGATTTTACGCTCGAAAAAACATTGTTTACTTTCGCTCTCTCGCTCTATCTCACGCTCTCTCATTCTCTCTCTCTCTCTCGCTCTCTCGTTCTTGCTCCCCTTTTAATAAATCTTAACAACATTACAACTTACAGCTCAACGGCCGTACTGGCTCCTCGTAGGCTGGGTAGGCTGGGTAGGGCTCTAAAAGTTCCAAATTGAAGTTGCGCTGTTTTTCGTCAAGGCCTACATGCTCCAAATTCTACGATAGCAAGCCGTAAATGGGATAGGAAAGGAAATTAGTATATCTACAGTACCACCGAGTCCAGATCCGCGTCCCGGGCCTCCAGGTCCGGAAGGTCCCCCGCGACCTCCCAGTCCGGAATTTGGCGTGACCGAGGTGGGTTTTGCTGGTCCATGCAGTCCGCTGCCGTTGTCTGTATGTGGGCCACGGTTTCCTCTGTCCACTAAAAACGGGTTACATGCTATGGGAGACATGCCGGGGTGTAGGATGCACTAAAAAAATGGAAGAATTATGAAATTCTCATCCAGGGTTTCTGTGAAACCGATTTTGTCCTTAATAAAACAACGTTGTACTGGGCTTTTTGGCCGCTTTTTTACTTGCCCAGCTTATCTTAAGCTTAGCATAATGACTATTAAGGCATGAAGTTCTATAAAAAAACATAAATCGGCCCATGGGGGATTAGATTACGATAGGAAATTTGTCTAGCATTTGCGAAAATTTTTGGTATTGATCGACGTTTAGAATAGCTAGAAGGGTATTAGATTACGACAGGGTATTCATTCTGGACCGTAAGGTATATACGTAGATATCGTTCTCATCCCTCAAAAACATACTGGGTGGCTCGGGTGCGGGCATGGGTGCTGGGGGTGGTTGCGGCCTGTCGGCGCTTCGGCCTCTACCTCCATCCGGAATATTCGGGAAATTGCCGTCGAACACTGACCCCGCGGCTCCCTCGCCTGAATTTTATTAAAAATCTTGTTTTTAAAAGGTACCAGGCAGAGTGGAGTGCCACTCCTTTTCATAGACGTTGACTCCGCCTTGTCCGCGCTCTCCGCGGTCAATTTTTGAGAGTGTGGTGATGGTGACGCGGGGGGTGAGGTCGACTGGGCCACTGAAAAAGTAAGTTTGAGGGTGAGGGCGAGAGATAGAGAGAAAAAGAGAGAGAGATAAAGAGAGAGAGATAAAGAAAGAGAGAGAGACGAGAGAGTGAGAGAGCGAGGGAGATAAAGAGAGAGAGAGAGAGAGAGGGGGAGAGCGAGAGATAGCAACTGGGAGAATGAGAGATAGCGAGAGAATGGGAGAAAGAGTGGGAGACAGACAGACAGACATACAGACAGACAGAGACATACCGCTTCTTCTCAACACCGTCAGCAGCGACGACACCGTCGCCGATAGGCGAATAGAACATACGACGCGGCTTCAGCGATTTTGGAAGCTGCGATGGGTCTAAAAACATACGTCCACATACTTAATGACAAGTTTTAACCTGTAATCAGCTCTCCGCCGGTCCATCTGTGCTCCGTCATCTCCACACCGGTGCCGGGCCGGTTGCCGTATCCGGAGAATTTCGACCTAAAGTGCCAAATTTTACTCTGGTTTCGTTAATGCACTTCGGGTATATTTTAAGCTGTACAAGCGACCTACTCATTGGATTCACGCAGGCGACGTTCCTCTGATGAGCGGTCGTGGTGACGCTTTGTCTCGAAGCGGTTGTATTCATCCTGAAAAATTTGCTTTTGGTGAGAAGGTTCACATCTCATGATGTTTCTTCACTTTTGACCGTTTGCTAGCTGCGGTCACGCTCTTAAAGAAGCCTCGAGCTCAAGACCCTAGATTTCCTACAGATTCCCGATGGATCCTGCAATTCCGCGGCAACCGCAAACGTCACTAGATCGCCTTGAAAAGGACGCGCCTAATCCAATAAGCGATGGCGTGCGAGTTACGTATAAGAAATCCATAAGATAATAACAAAATCCATGAGGAATCCATAAGATCAAACCCATGCCTTTGCCTTGCCAGCCCCTTTAAAAGATATTTTCCGCCAATTTCTCAGCCCTAATCAATAGGGATTTCGCTCAAAATTTCAACCACCCTACCCCTTTTAACCCCAGCAATTTTCCGCCCAGGCCTTTCCGCCCGATTCACGGCCTCCATCCCGGACAAAATGGCTTCGAGCCGGCTGGAAAGGGGGCCCGGCCTCGGGCTTTACAGCACACAGGAGGGGCCTCACCCCTGTCTCCCCATGGGGCTTTTCCCCCTTTCCACCCACGTAAAAATATGCCGGCCAGGCGGGCATTCATTCATTGATCGTTAACGGAAAGGTCAATGATTGACCGGATGGGGTCGTGGAGGTAGTACATAAAATGGCAATGAGGAGTATGTAGGTAACTAGTGTCACGTGTACTTTACGAGGGTATTTAAGGTGTCTGGAGGTGAGCGAGAACCAGTTTCATCTAAAGCAACGGTCAAAGGTAGTACCGTGAAACTAAAAATATTTTGATATGTCGAAATTTTACAAAATGACGGGTAGGAGATTACGGTTTATGAAATTTAAAACAAAATTACGTGATACGTTCGAAAATTATGTATACTTTAAACTCGAGATTTAAACAAGGATCCCATTAATGCGTGCAAAGGTATAAAAGGCATAGATTGTGAAAGTAATCGTTTACCTGATTTCGCTGCAGACTCGCGTAGGACGGGCTGGCCTGTCGATTGCCCAGCGACAGGTTGCCGGTGCTGCCGTAGTGGGACATCGACATGGCGGCGCGGTGTTGTAGGTCAAAAACCTGAAAGAAATACCGTTACTATACTTTGTCAAAAATATAATGAAGCTAGCAAAAAAAGTACGGTAACGAAAAATACGGTCAGAGCTGTCGAGATCAAAATTCCAATTTACGAAAAAATTTAATGAAGACGTTTGGACGGCATTTCGTAGCCTAAAAACAGCCGTATATTGGAGAAAAGACTGAAAAAGTTTAAAAAACCATTTTTGGAAAAATATTACCAGAAGTGGACTTTCCTACAAAATCCAAAAATTATGGTGTTGTCAAGCCATAAAAATCACATTTTAATCCAAATTCTAAATCATAGACTTCGATTAAACCAAATATAACAAAAAGCAGGCCGTATTTATCACGGATCGAAGCTGCTAAAAATAGTGTTGATTGCGGTATCGTTGGAAGTGACTAGAATCAAAGCCTCAACCAGCAGCTACCGGCCAGTAAACAGCGAACAGCTGTGGATCCAGCCAACCGACAGAGTTGGAGGGGTGGGTGTAGAGGAGGAGGAGCAAGAGCACGAGAAGTGAGTGACCCCTCGGGGAAAGGGGCGGGCGGAGGAGGCACACCAAGTCGAGAACCAGGTGCCACCACGTCCTGATCCCTGGCTTTAAAGCCGAGGAGAGGGACAATACTACTACGCGCCACCCTCGCATCACACCCTAAACAATGCGCCAATTCGGCTGGGCCCTCGGGGTGTGGTGTGACGTTATGGGGAGCTCGTGCTAGCTCGGGGTGCAGCTGTCGGCGAGGAGGAGGTCGAGCCGACTTTGTGAGATGCAGATTTGAGACCGCAGGAAGGGATTATCACGTTGGAGCCCTGGGCAAGAGCCAGGGTATAGCATAGATCTGTCGCTTACATGAAAAATGTCCCAATCCAGTAAGGACTACATAAAGCAAAACGCAATCCGTTCCTGCGTGAAAACGCTGCATGCTAGATCTTAGCGCCCAAAAGCACGCGCAATTGGAAATTCGTAAAATCAAGAGCGTTTTCGCATTTTTGGAGATACTTTTGCAATATCAGGGCCAGGGAAACAAGCTTCCAGGGGAACAGTGACTAATTTTTCGAAAACAGATAAAGCATGTGATTCCGAACTGTTTCCTTAGTATTCACAAACACAAAAACTTTACAATTTTTTACTTAAAAAATCAATTTTCGGCCATACTTTCCAATTTTTAATAATTGCTCGAGTTTTTCGACAATTTTACCACTTCAAATATTGCGAAATATCATCAAACGCTATTAACATCCTTGCTCTTACGTTATTAGGCATTCTGGGCTTACAGGAAAAATTCACCCCCCCCGCCTGAAAATGCGAAGAACCTTGTTAGCTTACGCAAGCAGAACAAAAATTTTTCTAACTGCTTTCATGTAACTAATTACGACGTATAAATCCAAGCAATAGTTTACGGATGTTGAATACTCCAAGCGAAATTCAGAAAAATTAAGTTTAAAAGATCCTGGCTGCGTGTTATCCGTTGATGCGCCATCTCTATCCCCCATCAAAACGTGAATAATCTGAAAGGTATGCGAAGTGGAGGCAGAAGCAGCCGGAAAACACTCGGGGACCCCCGGGCTGATGGCCCTTGTTGTCTAAAGGAAACGAAAAAGAAAAAGTCCGACTCCCCGGCCGGTCTCCTCCCCCACTTCGAAAACCGCCACCTGACGGGCATTTCCCTGGCCCGGGGGCACAAACCGCGTCGATCACCCCTGAAAAAAGTTGATCGAGAAACATGCGTGCGTGCGTACTTGCGTCATCGGTAGTGGCGTGTAGGCGGTGTTTTTGTAGGTGTGGGTGGAGCTCAATTTGCCCTCGATCGCTAAGAAAATTTTATAAAGGTTCCGGAAATAATGAGACCGTTTTATGCGCATTTTCTTGGTTAGGAGCAGCAACTGGGCGTGGCTTCGCAATGCTTATGATCAGAAAAAAAACAAGAAAAAGCTACTGTAAAATAGACGTGCGTATTTGCGTCATCAGTAGTGGCGTGTAAGCGTTAATTTTGCAGGCGTTTGTGGGCCTGGATTGCTTTTATCACTGCATAATTTTATCACGCCTGAATCCTTATAACGCTTTATTTGAATTCTATACAGCAAATAGTATTGATTTTTTTTGCTCTATTAAAAGAAATAGAATTTCCGGATGATTCATCAAAATCAGTGGTAATAATGCCGAGTTTGATTTGAGCCCATTAGTGCAGCGACTGCATTGATCGATAAATCTCGTCGATGCGCTTCTGCGGATCCTCGCCCGGCGTCAGGTGGACGGTTGAGGAAATTGTGGTCACATCTTTCGGGCCTAAATTTGGGTTTTGAAAGGAGCGTGAAAGTAAAAAAAAATATAAAACTTTTTAGGGCGTAAGCCTTTAAAGGCTTAGAAAAACATAAAAATACTTTAATCCGGAGAAACCTCTGAATCATACCTTTCTCATAGTGCATCCCGGTGAAGATGTTCGATTCATTCCGGGGATTAAAGATTTGGTCCGGATCGATCGCCTCACGGGCCTTCGATGGAGCAGTAGTGTGGATGGTTTTTGTCGTACTGTAGCCTGAACCATAGCCGGTAGTAGGGCCAGAAGTGTGAGAGGTGGTGCTCCTCATCGTGTTGTAGCCGGGGGAAGGCTCTGGAAATTAATGCCCTAATCGGTTGCGAATTCCCGGGTTTTTAAAGGTGTGGTGGCATCGAAAAAAATGCTGCACCATCTCTTTTCAAATTTGACATACCATGGACCCTGTCATAGATTCCAGAATGGCGTTGCTCATATGCTCCTGAATGACGTTGATCATAAGCGCCAGAGCTTCGATTATCAATGGTCGATGTTCGGCTAGTCGGCCTTGGTGGCAGGGCGCCAGAGCCCTGTGTAGAGGTACGGTAGCTGGAAGCGGTGCGCGTGACCGGCGGCTCGTTGAGGCCGCTGACCACGCTGGAGTAGGCGCTCGCGTCACGTCCTAAAAAACTTTTCGTCAGCTTTTGCAGATGATAAGCTAATCATAAAAGGCATTACAATGAAGCAGATACCTGTAATACCCTCTCGGGCCACACGATTCGGGTCGAACGGCGTGGCGCTGGAGTTGAAGTTGTTCTGGCCGTTGCGATTCTGAAAAAGTATTGATCGTAGAGCCTTACAAGACCTTCCAAAAAGAAAAAACCTTCCAAAAAAACCAAGAAATTAAGGAACCTACCAACGATTGCGTGGTGTAGGCGCTGTGAACCTGGCGAGACTGAGCTTGATCGCCACCTTGTCCGTAGCTCTGAGCCGCACGAGCAGATGGACGATCCACCGATGAGGCTCGGTAGTTCGGGTCGATGGTCACTCGCTTTTCAGAAGGACCCACGCTAAAAAACTCGAGCTCCAAATTTTTGAGCTTGACTACCTCCTCCTGATCGAACCCTTCCGATCCAGGGTGCTGTAAGGGGATGGACGTCCGCTGGAGAGGGCTTCCCAGCCTAAATTATCAGTAAAAAAAATTTGAGGGTATTATAGAGGAGTACTAAGGCGCGAAATGCTAAAAATCACCTCCAGGCGGAGCTCCAACATGTAAATTCTCGATGCTCAAGTTCAGATCGCTCTGTTTGCCGTAGGTACGGTTCCATTGGTCCATGTCAAAGTCTAAAAACACCGAATTTAATTTTTTTAATGCGGGTCCGCGTTTATTTTTATTCTCGTCCGAACTGACCAAGTTTCGGCGCCCGGTGGTACGTCTCTGTGCGCTCGTAGTCGACCTCCTTGTCGCGATTGGGGAGCTGAAATAGCTTTTTTACATTTTTGAAGTCATGCTTACGCCAAACTTCTGGCTCAAAGTTTGATAACCATCCTCCACATCGACCGGATACCCGATACGATTCCGGATCGTGCCGTAACGGCTTGGAGTTGGGGATTTTGTGAAGCGATCCCGGGGTTCTAAAAAACGTATTCTTTCTTATAAAACTGAAAAAGCTATTTACCCTCCGGGGGTCGATCCATAATTTTCAAAAGATGCGCATTCTCTTCGATATACCTGAAAAAAAATGAAAAAAATCCAATGATTTCGACCTTTAAACGATAGATACTCCTCGTTAAAACCGACCTGTTCAACTCGCGCAGCTGGTTGTTGCTCAACTCGTCCTGGTTGACAAGGTCGACGCCATTGATGATGACTTTGTCCTGAATATTGTTACTTTATTTTGGAACTTTATAATTCCGCTTACCGTGCAATCACGACCTAGCCTAACCGCCATGATGAGCGCTAGCTAAACGGTGAATGAAATCGTAGAAAAAAAAACCCGGAAGCCGAAATCATGAGGATGAACCGGTAATTCAGACAGTCAAACTTTTGAACGTTTTTTTAAAGCGAAAAATCAGCTATTTGAAGGTGTAAAAACCACCCGATTCCTAGAGATTTATAGAAATATCCAGGTATCTATAAATAACAAAAAGAATATTAAAAAATAAACAATCAATGCCCAAAAATCGATGCTTCTCGATGGCAATGCCAGGTGATCCTCCGGCTTTCGGGGGGCCCGCCGGGGGCAAACAGCCACCGACTTTTCCATCGCCCTCTAACCCCCCATGAAAAGGAGGGGAGACGCGGATTTTTGGAGCATCTGTTCAGCTCAAAGAGGCTTCTCCCTTTTCTTCAGTTGCTTTTTGCCGTCATTGTGAGCCAAGATCGCTCGAGCGGGGGGATAGCGTTGCACTTTTTGCGCTGGCGACTAGATAAACATAACGAACTGATACTTTAAAGAAGCTTTATAATAATGCTGCTCAAATTTAAAGCTTCAGCGCCCCTTTTACTTGAAAACCAGCAATTTTTTACTCCATTTTACTGTATTCAGCGCCATATAGAGCAGAATTTTACGTAATTTTTGCTATTTACTGCACATTTTTTGGCCTTAAAAGCTTTGCTTAGCATAAATAGTAAAAAAGCTTTTATAAAAACATTGTAGATCCTAGCAACACAACCGTTTAGATAAAAACGTCTATGACCGTGACAGAAAAGCTCCTCCATCACCTAAGCTATTGTTTTGATCACCCCTCTGTCATCCTCGCAACCCATCCTGATCGCGACTTTCCACCCTACCCAGTCCATTCATTCCGCCTTCCGCTCCACCGACAAAAATACCTCCCCCAGTGCCCTCGGGAAAGGGCCAGCCGCCCGGGGCCCAGTGGCCCATTTCGCCCCAAACAACCCCCGACCCGTGTGCTGTGTAATCCCTGAACTTGAGCCAAAAATTCCGACCCCGCCACAGTGTGCCGGATGTCGGCGAGGGCACGTCGAAAAATCGCCGAGTAACTGAAAATTTTTGTAATCACTTTCTAACTTGGCTCGAAATCACAAATGAAGCCATAATACTTTATCTATCGCCCAGAATACTGCGGGGTAGAGGCCGTATGGTAGTGAGAGATCCTAGCACAGATGCAATTTCCAAAAAAAAAACACACGCAGGGTAATATGCACTTTTGAGAGGGGTCACATACATAGCACAAAAGCATGATATGGATGAGAACCTGAATTCATAAAAATTGGGAAGAGGGGTAGGTAAAGCGCACCGTTGAATCGGGGAAATATCACACAGAGACGTTTTGAAAATCGTTGTATCAAGAGAGCAGGCTGTGACCGGGACAAAATGACAAATTGACAAGCCACCGGGCACGAATTCAAAGCGAGGAAAGGGGACCTGGTTTACTTATTTGTCGATGGCCGTCAGGTAGTCGTTGATCGTGGAGAAGATGTCCTGGGCGTTGTCGGGGTTCTCGGAGAAGAGGGCGAATTCTTCCAGGGTTTGGCCGCCGCATTGGTGTCGGAGCTGAAACAAAAATATTATAACCAATCTGATCGGCAGAGCTTACCAGTCCAGCGAGTGTCTCCTTCTGAGCATCATCGAGTGCCTTCACGCGAGCAAGAACTTTCTAAAAACCATAATGCTCCAAAATAAACGGTTAAAACATTATAATCCGGGGTCGGCTCGTAAGCAAGGATGGCACCCATCAGCGCGCCGGCAAAAGCCCCTTTTTTGCCGAAGAGAAACGCGCCTAAAAAAGTAAAATAAAATGAAACTAGACAATACCTATCAGTAATCCAATGCTTGTCGCGGCCACCTCTTGCAAGAGCATATTCCGACGGGCATCTAGCAACTAAAAATTAAAATATAACGCTTATAAATACGTTTTTAACCTTATTGACATGGAGAATCCTGACGGCCGCGTCGATGAAGGCGTGAGGCATTTTACCTGGAATTGTAGATATTAAAGGGAAAATCAGTAAATAAACACAGAAGAGCTATACAAATCCCACCAACCAGCTGGTGCTAGGCAACAAATAATCCTGTTCGCGCCTTGGAATGGGCCCGGATACGGCCCAGGGCCATAAAATCAAGGACCCGGGGAGGCGAAGCCCATAATTTGGTTGAAAGCCAAGGGAATGCGGCAAGAATTTAATTCCCAAAATGAGAGCGCCAGGATTTTTTAATCGATGTCAACGCACCCGGGGGTGGAACATTCGCTAGCGCCCCTCTATGGCTTCTAATTGCGCTCGCAGGTGTTATCGGCGGGGTTTTAGATGAGCTGGGTATGGGAAAGGTTATTTAGTGCAAAATTCCGGTTCTGATTTTTCTTATTATGACTTAATAAATTTTGAAAAACTTCTAAAAATGTACAAACTTTCTTAAAAAAAGCAAGGCAACAAGAATTGCGAAAAAGGCAGATTTTGTACGGAACACACCAACGAACGAAAATTGTAAACTGTATTCCCGCGTAGCTCGGTTCGGCCCACAAAATTCCGACATCCATTATTTTTTTGTAAAAACTCTCTATTTTTCGGCGATTACTTTAAAATGTTTAGGTATTTGAAAGAAAACCAAGGTTCCAATCAACGCTTCAGCGGCCCACCGGCAGGCAACCTCTTTTGCTTAGCCGGGGTTATTTATCGTCTCTCACAAGGAGTCGCTTTTAGGTGCTTTTGGAGTTTCGGGACGGGACCTAGCTAGTTCGATAGAGAAAAAAATTCTGAGCAACATCCCGTTTTCAAAAAGTGCTGATCGATAAAAGGTGTTTTAGAAAATTGTCAGCGCGCTTGCCGCCAGCCGGAAAAGTGTAGTCCGTAGCCCGACATCCGGGACACCCCCAAATAGCCGCTTTTTCGAATGACAAGTGGGGTGGTCAAGGTTGTCCCGCTGCAACGAAATATTGATGTTTTGGAAATTGGCTATGTTTACGTAGGCGCTTGTTTGCGGTTTTATGAAGTCCTTGGCTTTTATTTTGGAGGTTAGATCTAGATAGTCATTAAATTTAATAAAATTAGTTTGTCTATCTATTTTGTACTTTCAATTTATCGTGTTCTTTTCGGCTTGCATTTTTATAATCTATCTTTTTCAGGGCCCCATCAGATGCGCCTAACCTGAAATGCGCTTTACGCCACGTGTCCTTGGCCCCTTCGTGGGCGCCATAGCGAAGAAGCTCGAACACTACTCCCAATTCCAGCCCTCCCCGCTGACGATACAGCAGTACCTGGATTTTGGGCGAACCGGCACGGCACAGTCGTCGTACGCCTTTTTGAAGAATGAACTTCTTGTGCGGCTCGGCAATATCATGCAAGAGATTTCGCTGCTTCCACCTGCGCTGCTCGAAATGCCCTCGTCGAAATTGGTGGCTAGTTGGTATCAGGTACATTTTGCGATTTCTTGATTGATTTTTATGTTGTGCTTACCCAAAAGCTCTCAATTAATGTTCTTTCGTTTAGGAAAGCTTCGTGGAATTGCTCGATTTCGAAGGAAAGGATCCAACGACCGATCTGATCAACCAGTTCAACGAGAAAATACACGGGATCTTGAAACGGCACGCGCACGTCGTCGAAACGATGGCTGAGGGGCTGATCGAGCTGCGTGAACGGAATGGAGTCGATATCGCGTCGGAGAAAGGGATCCAATACTTTTTGGATCGCTTCTACATGAACCGGATCTCGATTCGAATGCTTCAGGTACCAAATTTTCATTTTTTAACGGGTCCGAGAGTAACTAGTATTTTTTAAAATTCCTCATTTTTAGAACCAACACCTTGTCGTCTTCGGCAACTTGCTGCCCGACAGCCCGCGCCATGTCGGATGCATTGACCCGGCCTGTGACGTGGAAACTGTCGTGCACGATGCCTTCGAATCCGCCCGCCTCCTCTGCGACCGCTACTACATGGTCTCCCCGGCGATGGAACTCGAAATCCACAACGCTGTCGAGAAGGACAAGCCCATTTCGATAGTCGCTGTGCCCAGTCACCTTTACCACATCATGTTCGAGCTGTTCAAGAACGCGATGCGCGCCACGATTGATCACCACGGGATCGATGACGATTTGCCGCAAGTCAAGGCCCGTGTTGTGCGCGGAAAGGAGGACCTCAGCATCAAGATCAGCGATCGTGGCGGTGGCGTCCCTCGTACGATCCTGGAGCGGCTTTTCAATTACATGTACAGCACAGCGCCACCACCGACAAGAGATGGGACTCAAGCACCGCTTGCCGGATATGGATACGGCCTGCCGTTATCTCGGCTCTACGCGAGATATTTTCTCGGGGATTTATTCCTGGTCTCGATGGAAGGCTACGGAACGGATGCTTGCATTTACTTGAAGGCTGTGCCGGTGGAAGCGAACGAGCTGCTCCCGATCTACAGCACATCTTCGCGCAGGAACATGACTCAAGCTGCTCAAGTCCCCGATTGGAGTCACCACGTCCCTGGGGACAACCACAGGACGAACTCCAACAAATGATGCTAAAGATCTTTGAAATTAGTATTAAAAAGTGCCCCGCTTGTAGTCTACCTATTAACGTGGTAAAAGTATTTATAGGTGAAGTATTATCTTCCCCCGAAACTCGTCGCTGCTTTTTTTGTTGCGTACCTATTCGTATTTCTAGTCCAGATTGCCCCCGTCGATTCGTAGCGTTTTTGATTGTGTTTTTTTTGACATCCGGTGTGTTTCTTTTGGTCTTCATTTTCTGATTAACGACACCGGTCACGATCTACCACTTGAACATGTACAGCCCGGCGTCTTCATTACTATTTTTTGTATATAAGCGTTCTCTAGTCGTACACTTGCAATGAAATGTCTGATAAATCACTGGTGCTTTCTAGGTAGCCTGCACATGTTGGCCCATGCATTGCGACTACTGTTCTGCGCTCTATGTGCTGAGCTTTTGAGTGGAGGTAGATTTTTGTAACCGAATTCAGCTATGTTTCAGCAGCCGAGGATCCAATGTTCATGTACATCGACGAGCCGGCCCGGCTACGCTACACCTACCAAATACAGCCCTCGACGAGTGTCGGCGCGAAAATGCCAAACTTTCCACGACGAGTAAGTTTTACTCTCTATTTTTTGAGAAATTTTTGTTTTAGAAAATCGAAATGGAATACGCGTATCCATCGCATGGCTGCGAGGCTTTACGCAACGTCGATTTGACAGATAAAGTCGTGCTTTTCGAACGAGGGTAAGATTTTAGCTCTTTATCATTATTTTTCTCTTTAGAGAATGCTCTTTCGTCGATAAAGTGCTGAACGCGCAGGAGGCGGGTGCTTATTTTGCTCTGGTGACAGATTCGAAGAATGGTGGTGAAGAGGTGGGCTAGAATTTCAAGTTGTAGCTCCAGCCCTTTGTAAATAACGTCTTTCAATCGGTGATTTTAGGTCGTTGATATGATCAGCGATACTACCAACCGAAGGGCAGACATCCCAGCTGCTTATATCAATGGAGAAAGCGGGTACGTGGTTTTTTTTAAGTGGAACAGAAGTCGTGAAAGTAGGCATTCCCGCGAAATAAGATCCAAACGACAATTTTCTTCAACAAATAATTACAGACGCCGAATCCGGGACTACTTGTTGTATGGCGGCGGCGAATTGGGCGGTTACCTGCTCGTGACGATCCCTCTGAACCACACGAACACGTTGTTGAGGGAAGTGCCAAGCAAACCCCCATGGGAGTTGTGGTAGATATGCTAAAAACTTTTCTACTTAACTTGATTTTGTCGTCCCCCAAATCCCGGCAATACTCTGTTTTGAAAAGCGTGGGCCCCCGTTTTTCTCGCCCTTTTAAACCGCGCGTAATAAGCTTTGCGTAGGCACAAAATGTTCACAGGCTTCTTCTCGACTATTTGCCAAAGCCATCTACCCCCCTAATGCCTTCGATTGTGATTCTCTTAATTCAATCCTGGATTGCTCTTTCTCACCCCCATTTCCTAATGCGGGTTCGCGGGTTCTGACAGTTTGTGTTGCGTGGATTTCGAAACTGTGATGTATCTTCGTTTATATTTCGCGTTGTTGCTCAGCAATTGTTATATCGTGTGCGTTTTTAGTTGTTTTCCATCAGCATGTGATATAAATAGATTTTTTAAGAACAATTAAAGAATACAAAACAATAAGTTGGGGGTGCTTTGCACCGGGCTTCAGTCGTAGAAAAACGTGGTGCTTTTGTTTATTTTTCCCGGGTTTTCGGTTCTAGCGCGTGAAAAACGGGCCAGTCCCGTCGAACCCGACCTTTCACCTCCTTCGCCACCGTTTTTTTCGGCTACCACGTGAATTTGTAATAATATTTTATTGCGTGCAGCCCGGGCGGGGGTCGGGAAGCTGATAACGAGGATTCCCCAGAAATCGCTGCTCTTTCGGGCTTCTGCGCTGATTTTTGAGCATGGCCAGAGAATTAGGAATAGCTTTGTTATTTATTTCTCTATTTGGAATTCTGGCCGTTGCTAATGCTGCAGTGATAAAGTCAGATTTGGACGAGACTGCGCGGGTTTATTTGGAGGTAAAGCTGAAACTTGGACCGGCTACCTTTTTAGCTATTGAAAAGCTATTATCCGCCCGAAAATTCAGCCGGGTTGACGGAATGTGAAGTTTGCGGAACCATTTTTGAAGTGATCAAGAATATGATACATCAAGGGCAGACGGAGGATGATGTTTTTAGTTTTGTAAGGTAAGTAAGGTCGATCATTGGCAAAATTTATCAAGATTTTACGAGGTTTGTCAGCTATTTTTATAATTTCATACAATTTTAAGAGAAGGGTTTATTCAGAAAAGCCTGCACCTTGCTTGATATTCCGATGCCACACGTTTGCGACCACATTATACGGATTTTTGGGGTAATTTTGGGCCGTATACCGAAATTTGAATGTAGGGCGAGCTGGTCTTTGTGCTGAATCATACTACCTATACCCCGGAAGATATGTGCGATACGTTTATCGCGGTAAGTATTACACTGGCACGCTCGGAAAGACATTTTAGGGCTGCGCGCCGGGCGGAAGCGCCGAGAATGCGCTCTGGGGTTTCCAGATCCCTTCTGACAAGCCGACTGTGAAGCCGTGGCCAACGGTTCCGGTAAGTTTAATGTCTATAAACCGGCGTTTTAAATAGTGTTTTCTCTTTTTCAGAAGTTAGACCTGTTTAGAGGATCAGCTAGCTAATTTTTTAGATATCACAAGGCTTTTAGACGGGCAAACCCACACTTCGTGTCCTTCACCTCTCCGACATTCACATCGACCTGAACTACACGACCGGTTCGGAAGCCGACTGTACGTACGAGTGGTTTTCCCTCTGCTGCCGCACTGATTTGGGAGACACCGCCGGGCAGAAGAAAGGTAATTCATTACCGTCCAACGCACGGCCAATCAAACAGGCCAAAAACGGCAATTTGCCGGAAGAGGCAAAAGCGTCAATTGGAGTCGGGCGTAGGGCGCGTCAAAAGGTTTAAACTCTTCTAACCTTTCCAAACCGACTTAATATTGAAAAGCGAATATTAATTATTGCAAAATAAAATTTTACGGTTCGAATGACACCAAAGACAGCAGGTTCCCTTAGTATCATTAGAATCGCCATGTTCCCTTCTACAAGACTGGAATTCGCCTTTTTTAAGATCGGCCATATCTTTCAAGATATAGGTCTCCAAAGTTTTAGCCCCATACATTTTTGAGTCGATAGGAGCGCCGCGTTGCCTAGCCCTTAGACCGCCAAGATTTCGGGGCGTGAACGTTCAAGGACTCTGAGGAAAAGAGGAATGAACCACTAGCTAGTTTTAAGCAGATTTGACCTTTAGACGTCAAGCTCCCTTCCGGCGAATGGGGGATGGCCGCGCATTGTGACATTCCGCAGCGCACCTTTGAGCACGCCATCAGGCACATTGCGGCGACGGAGAAAAATGTGAGTTAGGGCTTGCAACGTTACAAATAGGGGCCCACAGAAAGTCTGAAAAAGACAAGCAAGCCGCCTAACCAAACTTTCTTTGCTATGTTTTTTTGGTGAAATCAAAACGAATAAGACAACGCGACGAAGGCGGGAAAACTTCAAAGAACGTTGAGTAGCTGGTTTTACTCACTAAACAATATCGTGGCTTGTATTTTTTTATTTCCAAAGCGCCAAGAACTTCGATAAGTTTGGAGTTTTATTCCCATGTGTTTCCAAGACTCAAAACTATTCTTTGACTTGAAAATTCTGCTTTCTTGCCATGTTTTGATTGATATGTTGTAGAAGACCATTTTTGCCATGAGACCTTTATCATATAAATAGACCATATGTACAATAAAGGTTGTCCTAATCGGGTGGAAGCGGCTGTCGTGGGCGCGCTTATTTTCCGGCGTAGGCGTTTCCTCCGGCGGGGGCGGCGTAGCCTCCTCCTCCGATGGGTCCCTGGGGAGCAGCGTAGCCTCCGCCGCCGCCTCCTCCGCAGCCTCCTCCGCATCTAGAAATTAAGGATTTGAATGGTTTTTACGAGTCTCTAATGTACTAGACGGCTAGAGAAAGCTAGTGGTAGTTTTTTGGACCTTGAGCTGGATTTCTAGAGCAATTTTTGCTGTTTCAAGATGGTTTGAACTAGTTTTTGGGGCATGTAATGATCGTAGTATATTTTGTTAACTTACGGGGGTGGTGGGGGAGCTCCGCATCCGCAGCTGGGGGGAGGAGGGGCTCCGCATCCGCAGCCACCGCCGCCGCCACCTCCGAAGAGGAAGCCTTGAGCGGCAACAGCGATAACGGCGAGGATGACGATTTGACGGAGCATCTGCAAATTCAATAAGTAATTCTGGGGTTACGGTAGGAAGGACAAGTTATGGAAAAGTAGAGCGGAAAGCTGTCAAGATTACGGTGGCTAGATGGATTCAGATTTTGGGAAGTAGGCTCGAAAGTTTTGCTTGAAAGCTAGAAAAAGCCTTAAAATGCCAAAGCAAGCTGTGGAGGTGGCTTGAGAGGAGGAAGCCGAGTTGCCGATGCTCTCCGTGCTGCCGGCCGTCCGTTTTATACGGTGCCCCGGGGCGGAGCCGCCAGGCGCGCGCACCGGATCCGCCCGGCAGATACGATGGCGTAAAAGGTTTTTTTCAGCGCTTGCCGACAGAAAGACATACATACTGGCAGCGAGAGAGTGAGAAAGCGAGAGCCAGAGATGGAGAGCAATGCCCGCGGGCGCCTCTCCGCGCGGGTTATTGCACGGTGTGCGTCTCGTAGCCCTTTTTCAGTCAGCCCTCTTCGCCTTGCGGCTCTCATCAACCGCTCGGTGCCAGACCTGGGGATAGGCAGAAACGGAGAAGCCGACAAACGCAAAAAGACGGCTTGTACGGCTGCTTGCTGACACAAGAAGCGCCTGATGGCCACTTTCGGGTTGAGCGTGTCGGGGTCGCTGCAAGGTCATGCCGATTACACGCGGTTGTTCGTGGAAAGGGTCACGTTCGGAGGCCACGGCCCGGGGGAATGGTTGTTGTACTGTCTGGGTACGGTAGCTGCGTTGCAGGGTTTTGGTTTGATGTTTAAGGGCAGCGGAAAGATTAATTGAGGTGCACCGTCAGGGATTTTTGTATTACGGTTGGAGGCGGAAATCTTACGACTATCGATAAGGAAAAGCTTGTGCTTGTTTTTAGAGCAATTATTCGTGTAAATCGGCTTTTCCCGAAAAATGCTGTTCCGAAACATTCAAACCCAAATCTGGAGATCTATAGATGTTATTTTAGGCTGCCAAAAACTTGTATTTTGGCGCTCACATATGTTGTTTTCTTGAGATTTTTAGACGCTTCAGAATACCCATACAACGTCAGGATTAAATTTCCAGTTTTTCTATACTTTTGTTTTTCTGAATCTGTATCTGAATTTTGCCGGGATCTTCGTTTGACATGCTCAATTACGTATCTCCTCATCTTGCAGGTCATTGTATCAGGGAGTCCACCCGGCTTTCTCCGATCGCCTGCACCCGATTTCCGTTTCACTCCGCCGTCCATTGTTCATAGTACCCGCTCGTAATTTCTCACCCCGAAAAGGTCATTTGGTCACCTCGCTTGAACTTATCGCAATGAGAGCGACAAAGTAATGTTACGGAATGCCAGCTTAATATTGCGTTGCCTTACAGCCTAGGAACGCTACGATGGAGAAGGGTACGCAACGCTACGTTAGGTGAGACTACGACGAGATACGGACAGAACTATGCCAGGTTACGCTACGTTTGCGGCAATACGCCTACGATGCGCTAGGCTACGCGAAAATACTGAAGCGATCCGAGACGATACACGACGTTACGCTACGTCAAAAAACCGTTGAATTATAGCGACATTCCCGCCTGTACGAGCATGACCAAAAGGGTATTGTGATGGTGGCCTAAGGTAGTTTAGGTGTTAAAGAGCCAATCAGCCCGTGAAACGACCTCTTGCGAGAGAGAGAAAGAGAGAGAGAGAGAGAGAACGAGAGAGAGTGAGAGTGAGAGTGAGAGAGAGCGAAAGTCACAATCAGTTTTTGCAACTTTTTGGTGTATCTCGCAGTCGCCCTTCTTTTGCCGGGTCTGCCATTAGGTAAGTTTTTTCGCCCTTCCCAATCCCATTAAAGCCTTACGCTGTTTGCGCCAATTTTCCAGCCATCGCCCTCCGGCACTTTCCCCTAATGCCACGGCAGCGACTCCTCAAAATTTTCGGTCACCTCGTGGCGGCGCAGCGGTGGCGCTCCGCGCGGCTGGCAGACCCGAAAAAGGTGCATCAAGTTCAGAGCCGGCTCGTAGCCTCCTCCACCTCCCTAGGGTGGGTGGTGTTTGGAAGGCTGAAAAAGAGATCTAATCAAGCAATGTGCCTCAAGGCAACCCAAGGCGCTGTCGGCATTGGGGTTGCGGAGTCTTGGCGATGGCCTCGCGTGTCGATTTGGGCAGACCGTAAACTGGCCCTGAGGCCAGATCCGGTGTCTGCAGGTGTGAAAGTTTATGCCACCCGCCTGCGGGGCTATCCAAATTCTGGGTGGTGTTTCGGGTGGTTTTGGAAAACCGGCTTATCAAGCAGCATCGGCAGCTCATGCTCACTAGAATTTGGTCTTTGGAGGCGAAGAACTCAAAGAACTTTTTTTGAGAGGTTGGCCGGAAGTGAAGGAGCCTGAAAACCTCTTCCTATCAAAGGCTTGGAATTCGCCTCATAACGTACGTTGGATTTAAAGTGTCAAAAACACGCTCAAGCAAAATAAAAATTATCATTTAAAAATTTTGTGCATCAGTAACTTCTAGGTTTTTAACTCTTTAAAATTCTAAAGCTAGTTTTTGTCGTTTTTCAGGCTTACGGTGCGTTTCCGGCGCCTAAGCCGGTTAAAAACCCGGAACACCTAGCGTGTCCTTTCATGCAAATTAGCTAAAATCCCACAGCACTTGGGTGAGAGCACTGAACCTAAAAGCTGCTAAATTGGCTAGAATTTCCTTGGAACGAGAAAACAGCTTTTGACGGTGTCTAGGGTTCAAGTAGGGTGCATTGGGAAAGGGAGCTAATTTCCTGGTTTTTAGGCTTCGAGAGTTTTGGGTGGATTTGTGCTTTGGTGGATAGAAAAACTGGTTTGATTTTGAGGATGGGAATTAGGCGAATTTTTGACATTTAGATACCTGGATATAGCCTTTTCTGGGCTATAATGTTTGTTATAGAATTTTACATCGGTGTTTCTGACATTCTGGCGTTATTTTTTCTAGGACGTTTTTTTTCTGGAACTTAAGCGCCAAGCATAGAAAGAATGCGAGTTTTCTTCGTCGCACAGTGTTTTTTTTTCTGAGCGTTAGTTTAGGCCGTAATTTACCATTTTTAGCGCGTTATATCGTAAAGATCGGGCCATAAAACTCATCACTTTTGCCCGACGCCCTATGCTAACTATTCAAGTGCATACACCGTTCCTAGCCGCAAACGGGAAAATGTGTCCATCAGTTCAAGCGCACCGCCTTATATGTGAAGTGAGGCTGAATGAGGGTACAGAGTCTCTCTATAGTCAACCCTCCCTCCATCCATCCACTCGATAACAGGTCCCCCCGGGGGCAAGCTTGAGCGATGATATTTCCGCACGTACCAGCCCGAGACTGCAGCCATTTTCTCGCCATAATAGGGTTTCAGTCTAGCCGCATGGTGCGGGCAATAGTGGAGGCTGATCGGAGCAACACATAGTTTATAGTTTTTATTTTTTGATATGTTTTTAATCACAAGAATTCTCCTCAATTTAATTTGAAGAGGTCTGCAGGCGAACAACTACAAAGAAAACGTTCCGACACATCTTTTGAGCTAATAAATATTTAACTAAGGTTGGGTTTTCCGAAGTGCTAAAGGCTTCTTGAAAACGATTTGAAGTTCGTCTTCATCTAGAAAAACTTGGTAAATTTTTTCGGCCAAGTGATAAATGCGAAAAATGAGTCTTTTAGCGTCGATTTGTGACAGAATTGCTCAGGAAAACTGTCATTTCTTTCAAGACAATTAAAATTTACAAGTATTTTTTGAACTTCGCCAGCCAATTTTTTTTGCTTCCTAAAAAGCGACGCTCCTTAAGCCAATTTCTAAACGTGGTAATCATTTTGATTTCGATTTCTAAGCTAATTTATGCGGGTTTTTCCGAATTCCATCACCTTCCAATCGCCTCCATTGTATTTCTTTGGATTTCCCGATGACGAGACCGTTGCGATGAGACCGTTTATACCGTTAAATAGACCACTATGTACAATAAAAAGTGTTCCTAGTGGGTCGAGCGGCTTATTTTCCGGCGTAGGCGTTTCCTCCGGCGGGGGCGGCGTAGCCACCTCCTCCTCCGATCGGGCCCTGGGCGTAGCCTCCGCCGCCACCTCCTCCGCAGCCTCCTCCGCATCTAGAAATGAAGGGTTAGAATGGTTTTTCAATGGTTTTTCGAGTTTCTAATGTACTAGAGGGTTAGAGAAAGCTAGAGAAAGCTAGAGGTAGTTTTTTTCAACAATTAGCTCGATTTCTAGAGCAATTTTTGCTGTTTCAAGATGGTTTGAACTAGTTTTTGGGGCATGTAATGATCGTAGTATATTTTGTTAACTTACGGGGGTGGTGGGGGAGCTCCGCATCCGCAGCTGGGGGGAGGAGGGGCTCCGCATCCGCAGCCACCGCCGCCGCCACCTCCGAAGAGGAAGCCTTGAGCGGCAACAGCGATAACGGCGAGGATGACGATTTGACGGAGCATCTGGAAAAGTTTTCGTAATTTTGGGTTACGGTAGGAAGGACAAGGTATGGAAAGACAAGAAGTGATGTTCAAGTGATGAAAGTATCGAAAGGTACATTGATCTGATTTTTCGACGTTTGAAGGCCAATACTGTTCAGTTTAGAGCTGTGCGAGGGAAAAGTCGTTTTTTAGTAATTTTACTAATAAAATAATGATTTTTTTTGGAAATATAAGTCAGTTTAAAGGCGAGCGCGCAAAAATGCCATGCTGACCAAGCCCAGCGGCCCATTGCAAACTTTTTGCATGCCTCGTTGGCTTCTAGAAAGCTGGAGCTGCTGAGGGAGCTGATGCTGGAGGAGAAAGGCTCCCGCATTTTATACCCACCCCCTGGGCATATACGGTGCTGGCAGACCGGCGGAACTTGGTGCACTCTGCCAACGACAGCCCCCAAAAAAACTTGCTAGGCGCCGTTTTCGAGGGCGCGCAGAGCAGCCGATGGCAGCGCCTTGCGCCGGACCACCCTCCAGACGGTTGTTTTTTTCAGATTCGCCGCAGCTTAGCGTAGATAACGAAGGGCTGGAGGTCGATGGGTCTGCGGGGGAAACTCTAGGCATACAGCACTTAAAAATTGAAGGACTGGACGACGCGTGTATATTAGTATTATACTTTTAATGGCAGCCAATACAGTCTTAAAAGCATTAAAGTACATTATACTATGTACGCTGGTACTCAACGCTGGTCCACGACAAACTACACTACGCTACAATACACTACGATATGCTGCTATAAACAACGCTATAAACGTTACGCTACACGTCACACCACGTTACACTCCGTAATACACAGCTCAACTACTCTTAATACGTTAGAGTACGCCACGATGCGCTAGAGACTAGGTTATTTTTTAGTGGCAATTCGGCTAACACTTTTAACATGATAAGGTAAAATGCTCAATTCGGAGTTTGTAAAAAATCGGTGTAAACCTGTAAGAATTTAAATCAAATTTAGCTCGACTATATCATCATTACCGGCGACCTGGAGGCGCACGACATGTGGGAGTACTCGCAAAACTATACGAAATGTAATAGCACAATGGCAACTGCTAAATATCTGACTTACAGATCGTGTAAACTACGTCAACACCTTCCTCAAGCAACAATTTGGCGATGTTCCGATCTACAATTCCATCGGAAACCACGAAGGTGTACCCGGGGATGCGTGAGTTGTACTAGTGTAGCGTAGCGTACGGAATCCCGCTAGTAGAATCCAATGTTTTATAACCTAATTTAGAATGGCCTCCCACAACATGGTTGAGTACGATCAGAGGGGCCCGGCCTGGCTATACTCGACGCTGGCGGATTCTTGGAGAACCTGGCTGCCTGAAGATACGATGGTCGATATTCGATAGTAAGGAATTTTGAAAACTTACCGAATTGACGGCTGTTTTACGATTTCCATACATTTCCAGTCGAACCAAATTTTAGTCGAGCCAGCTACGCCGTTCGCCCATATCCAGGGCTGAAGCTGATCTCGATCAACACCATCTACTGTTCCCATTTTAATTTGTAAGTTTTTGGGCTTGATTTCAAATTCCGTGCTTTTATAATTTCATGTTTTAGCTATGTCTACCTTAACATCACTGACCCAGACGATACGCTTCAATGGCTATCAAATCACTTGTTGGAATCCGAGAAAAAGGGGGAGAAGGTTGAGAAAATCAGAAAAATCTAGTGCCTTTTTAGGTACACCTCATCAGCCATATTCCAACCGGTTCGGGGTATTGTCTACGAGGATGGGCCCATAATTTTTATGACTTGGTTAACCGGTAAGGAAACGCTTCTGTCAAATGTGATTTAATTAAGCGAAAGAATTACTAAGAATCAAGATTTTTTTATTCCCGATTTATGCCTCTTCCTTTCAGGTTTGAAAACACGATCGCCGGCCAATTCTACGGTCACACGCATCAGGATCATTTTCAGGTGAAAAATTAACGTTACCGGATATACCTACTGCTCATCCCTAGTTCCATTAATTTGTTATATAGTAGTAACATGTGCGTATAGTGTTAATTATATCCTACCTTATATAATTTTGGAGTGTATCTCTGTGTGTGTGTGTGGATGTCACTTTCGAGGCCCGATTTGAGGGCCTTCCCGTGTCCAAAATGCCTTAATTCTCCGTCACCCGGGGGAATCGACCCTCCTCTTTCCGATAGCGCTTTCAGAATCCCGATAAAATACAAGTTTACAAAGTTAAAGCCGGTTTTACTAATTTTTGGGGGTCCGGGAGGGCTAATTTGCATAATGTGAAAAAATACAAATTTCCTCATTCTTGCCAGTTGCACTCGCGAGTTTGGTCGTCTCTTCGGATCTGCCTCTCGATGTCTTTCCTTCCCCTGCCCCGGGCAGTCCTCTTGAGGCATAAAACGGGTGTTTGACGCGTGCTGCCAAGATTTGCATGGTGTAGTGGTTAGCGCTTCGCCGTGCTAATCTAACCATCGGAGGTTCGATCCTCGGATATTTTAGTTGTTTTGCTTTTTGCTCGGAAAGTGCGTTTCGGAGTGGATTTCCGTGTAGGGACGTTATTATGAAGTAAGTCACTCAAGCCGCAGCCTATAGAACGAAGCTAGCCGCTCAATCTGGCGCCGCTGACTTTAGAACGAAGCCAGCCGCTCAAGCTAGCGCCGCAGGCTTTAGAACGAAGCCAGCCGCTCGGCTTTAGAACGAAGCCCGCCGCTCAAGCTAGCGCCGCAGGCTTTAAAACGAAGCTAGCCGTACTAGCTAGCGCCGCAGGCTTTAGGACGAAGCCAGCCGCTCAAGCTAGCGCCGCAGGCTTTAGAACGAAGCCCGCCGCTCAAGCTAGCGCCGCAGGCTTTAGAACGAAGCCAGCCGCTCAAGCTAGCGCCGCAGGCTTTAGAACGAAGCTAGCCGGTCATGCTAGCGCCGCAGGCTTTAGAACGAAGCCGGCCGCTCAAGCTAGCGCCGCAGGCTTTAGAACGAAGCTAGCCGCTCAAGCTAGCGCCGCAGGCTTTAGAACGAAGCTAGCCGCTCAAGCTAGCGCCGCAGGCTTTAGAACGAAGCTAGCCGCTCATGCTAGCGTCGCAGGCTTTAGAACGAAGCCGGCCGCTCAAGCTAGCGCCGCAGGCTTCAAAACGAAGCTAGCCGCACTAGCTAGCGCCGCAGGCTAACGAAAAAAGCCAACCATTGAAGCTAGCGTCGCAGGCTAAAGAAGGAGGTTACCGCTCAAGCTTGAGACGCAGGCTTTATCTCGAAGCAAACCGCTCAAGCTGGCGCCGCTGGATGAGGACCTAGCCGATCAAACATGCGCCGCAGGCCTAATAACGAGACTAGCATTTCAAGCTTGCGCAGCATGCCAATACAAAGAGGTTTTCATGGGAGATGCGTTTTTCTTACTTCAGGGTAACTTTATGTGGAAGGGCGCTCGATTCATAGGGCCTAGACGGGGTCCAGCGGGGGAGAGTCGCGAAGCGGCTCCTCCCCCGCTGGTAGTTATATAATATATAGTACTAGACGTGAAATTTGATTTTTCAGGTCTATTTCGATCGTGGAGACCCGACCGGTCGAGTTACTCACGTCAACATGGTAGCACCATCTCTTACAACCTTCGCGTATAACAACCCTGGCTACCGTATCTATACCATTGACGGGAATTACAAGGGCAGCAGCTTTGTAAGAAAAAAAACGATATTGTAACGGTTTACCTAATTTTTGGACAACACTCGATTGGGAGGCCTACTATACCAATTTAACGGAGGCAAATGCAAGGGGAGAACCTGAATGGAAGTTGGCTTACAAAATGAAGGTAATTTTTGCCTAAAAAACAGTTTAATCCCATTTTTAACTACAAACGAGAACCAATTTCGATTAAACTATTGGCTAGTAACCTTTCCAGGAAGCCTATAATATGCCCGATTTATCGCCTGCTTCATTTAATGCCGTAATCGACCAAATGTTTACGAATGAAACGCTGTTCAGGGATTATTATATGTATGTGAGCCTTTTTGATTTGAAAATATTAGTTTAAGTTACTACCACCGTAACGACCAATACAAAATGTCGTGCATCAAGGAGGCGAGCTGCCGGAAGACCTACGCTTGCGCGTGCAAGACGGCTAGAAGCTATGATGAGAAGCATTTTTGCCCAAATTAGGCGTCGATAAATAGGTTTATTTATTGAAATTTGTTCGTTGTCCTACACATCCTAAATTCCAAAATGATCTCTGCTAGATTGCCCAGTTTTTCGGCCTAGATGGATGTTTTTCCTTTGCTTCCTTTTTCATTAATTTTCACTTCATTTTAGCTTTCCACATTACCTGCTTTAACTAGCCAAGTTTTTGTCCCTTTTTCCGCATAGTAATGCCACAACGCCAGCCTGTCCATTTCGTCCCCTTCCTCTCCTCATCGAGCATGTGCTCGTGTCTCAGGAACGTGTGTGTGGACCTCTCACTCTCGGGTGTAATGTCCCAATCCAAGTCCACGGAAAATTTGGAAAAAAGAGATGGCCACCTGAGCTGGTTGGTGATAATCCAATGGCGTCGTGCTTTGATCATTGAGATTGGAAGCGGAAATTGGTCTAGCGGCAGTCTGTCCTGATCATCAAGCTGATCAGGTTCAGGAAGAACTTTGGAAATATAGCTTTATCAGAAGCGTGACATGGGAACCTTGTTAGCTTAGAATTTTCAGCATTTCATTTCCTACGGGCACAAATTTTACTTTTTAATTTACAACTAAAGTACATGAAAGTAAAAATGATGATCGATTTTATACTGATTGCTCTGAGGCGTCCTGATTCCTTTAGGTGCCATGGCAGCTTGAGAATTTACCCGATTCCGTCGGCTATCTATGGCCACTACACGGTTGCTCAAGTACGCCTGAAAATGCATTTGGCTCATTATGGCATAATCTTTATCTGTCGACGCTTATACTAGATAGGACAAGTCGATTCTGCCGTTTCTCAAACCTTTAAAGCTGAAAAAACTGCCCAAAATCAGGAAACCTGGCCGGATCGGGAAGCCTACCAGAAACTCCCCACCACCTGAAACCCCGCGTTAGCGCAAAAAAAGGCATAACAATGTAAAATTCACCTTTCCGTAGAAGATCCAGAATTTTTGAGTTCCCGGTCCCTTTAAGCCAATACTTGGTACAATACAGCCGATCCCCAACTACCCTATCTCATACCCCCTGGTGGTGCCCCCGCCATCGTATAAAAATGGGACCTCGGGGAGCATGGGGACACGCGGATGCCGACCGCGGGGGTACCCCGGCAAAAGGGGGGACACTTTTTGGCCCTCTCTTTGGCCCTGGCCCTTTGGCCATGGTGGCATGGGTCTCTTTCTCGTCCCAGGGTGGCCATTTCTTTGCATATTCGCGGGCCCTAGCCCCCCGTCCCCCCGGCTATACGATGGGGGCGGGAAGGGGAAAGGGATAGAGGGATAGAGGGACACTGCTGGCCTCTACCCCGCACCCGGGAAAAGCAATAGCGAACTAGTACGAAAACGGGAGCGTGCCCGGGGACTGGACATTCCGTAGGGCTTCTCTGGACGGGACACGGGAGGCTCACCGCCACCCTCAAATAGGTGGCCTAGTCACATGCAATGGCGGGGCATGGCTCCAGAACAGCCATGTGATGAAGGGTGGGGTCGTGTTGAAATTAGAGGGCGGTGTCGGGAGTAAGCTATAGGAGTGGGAAGGAAGTATAGAACCGTACTACAGGCTGTAAAACAACGGGAGTGTCATAGCACCGTTCTAGGGAAAAGGAAATGTGAAATTGTAAAGTATTACTGTAAAGTGTGCAGAGTGCTTTTAAGCATTTAAAAATGTATACTACTACAAGTACTGTAAAGTTTTGTAAAAATTGTAAAATGCCGCGGAATTTTCGCGTTTGACTACGATTCAAAAGGCACTCACTAGCCGGAGGATTAAGCTTGTTGATCAGGTTTTGAAATTTGTGATAATACGGTAATTTGTGTTTTTCGCGCACGACACGGGGGGGCAAATAAAAAAAAAAATAATATTTAAAAACGTAGTATTCAGCATCAAAAACGTCCAAACTTCATTATCGTGATTCATGACAAAATCGACGATTTTTACTTGCTAAAGGGGTAGTTTACGCGATAACATGAAGTATTATCGTTCTAGAGCGCAGGAAGTAGCGCCTCGTAGTAGTGACGTCGGGCATAGAAACCGAGCCGATGTTCGCCAAGCTACCGTAATCCCCAAAAACCGATCGGATCTTCCCATAGGCTCTGTTCACCATGCGATCCTCGAGCCTTTTATCTGATCGTCTACCCTAACCGCATCCCGGATTTCAATACTATACCCCCAGAAGTGGGGCACCCCGCGACGTGCGGAAAGCGGAAAAAGCAAATATTTTTGCGCAACCCCCTCTCGCTCCCGGTTGCACTTTTTCAGTTTCACATCTCCAGCTGAGGGGGTGGAAATTGAAGGGGGAAAGGGGAGGAGGGAGAGAGAGAGAAAGTGAGGTTGAAAAAGGGAGAGGGTCGGCAAAAAGAACTAGCACACGCTAGGGGGAATGTCAACAACAACACGCTAGCCCCACAGAGGCCAGCCAGCCGATATTCGGCTAGTCCCCCATTCCGTGCCCTAAAAATAGTGTTTCGGTTCATTGTCCCGGTTTTTGTGAGCCGGGGGATGTTGCCGACTTTGTGATGGTGGTTCGTCACTTGCCGGTGCTGGGGAGCACTTCGTTGTTGTTGAGTATACTGTTGGTATGAGAAAGGGGGGTAGTAAAATTTTTATCTCGATCATCGGTTTCGTGATTTTTTAGTATTTTTTATGATAATCCCCTGATTTTATAGATCCGATCCGTTTTCGACAACACTCATAGTATCCGGCCGGAACTCGAAATAAAATTTTTAGCCCGTTGGTCTGAAAATTCGGATTTGGCAGTCTGCTTAGGGGTCAAAAAATCTTGACATTAGCCTGCCCGTCCCCTTAAAAAAAATTCAAAATCTTCCTAATATGTCTAAAACAACGTAATAGGTTCAGATAAGCGTAAAATTTTACGCTGGCTTGAGGAAAATGGCGAGGATCGGTTCAACGTTTTCAAAAAAAAACATTTTGCCACATTTTTCAGGTTTTTAGAAACACTGAATTTGCACGGTTACAGTATCTGTATTGCCAATCATTTTGGTTTTTACGAGTTTTCAGAAGGCTGCATATCTTCATCCAATTTATTTTTAAAAAGTCTTCAAATCCTCAAAAATTTGCGTCACAAACACAAAAATTCTTTCTTTCATCTTTCCATCGGGTCCCTCTTTCGATTTCATTGCCTTTTTACAAATATTCTACACTGCACAAACGCGCCTTTTGCAGAAGGCCCCGTAGGAGCCACAACCTGGCCTGCTACATGCCTCGCCAATGTTTCGTCTGGTGAGTGGCATTCCAAATTGGTGGCGCCCCCGCCCGGGATTCTCGTAAAATTATCAATTTCACGAGACAATACATTGCCACGCACGCCTGTTCACCGTAATTTGTCGTCGCGTATAAAGGGAATGCGGCGGGCGTTGCGAAAATCATTTTCTGATTTTCAGAGACGCCGAATTTTCTGCACACATTTCTACGATTAAAGAAGACGAGAGGAGCGAGATGGATTGGTTCCAAACCGGTGCGTTCTTTTCAAATTAAACACCAATTAACTAACTCGAAAGGTGTTTTGGCGTGCTTCGTAGTTGTCGAAACCTAGTCGAAGGGATGGGTCGATTCTCGCACTTTCAGAGCCCTTGAACTCGATTTTGCACCTTTATCTTCAGCTAGAACAGCTCAGCTTCATCTCTCTCGTTCGCTCTCTCTCACGCTCTCTCTCCTTCTAGGTCGCTTACTTTATGTCTGCCTCACCAGCGCTACTGTCGAATATTACTGAATTCCGTCTTACGATGGGTTTTTCCTGTCCCACGCCCTTTAAAAGCCTAGTCACCGTGTTCCATTCCGCTAGTATACCTTTTTCAACTACCACCCCCACCGCTAGTTCGTTCTAATCTGCCGAGCCCTCACGTCCCCCTCCATCGGGTTCCATTGTCACCACCCCCACGGCCGGGACACCAAAATTGGCCATTGCCGTGTGTGTAGCGGGTTGGCTGGCAGCGTGTAGAAAGGGGGATATTTGCATTCGGGCACTGCCGTTTTTATCTGCCACACTAGGCCGTGCTTTGCCTACACCTCCCCTTTTCCTTCTCTCCCCCCCTCTCTCTCTCTCTCTCTCTCTCTCTCTCTCTTTCTCTGGCCTAAAATTTCGAACAATGGGACGGCGTGCGGGAAAAACACAGGCACGATAACAGTGAAAATGGGCGGTTGCTTATCGGGTTTGGGCATGCTTAGCTGAGACGGGGAGGCCTCCCGCAACGTTCGAATTCGTGGAAGAGTACGTGGGAGAGCGAGAAAAAGCTTTTTGGGGTATATCATTTTCACTAATGTTGCATAGTAAGGTAGTACGGTCAAGTACGACAAAAAGTTGCATGTTGAGCGTGGGACACCTAAAACTTACAATTCCGCTATCCTCCTTCTTCGATCGATCCCTTTGATGTTAAATAACCAAAGCTTCCGATTTCTTTAAAGAGATTGTAAAGTCGAGAATCCATAAAGGAACTTTTGAAAATTCCCACTGGATTTTATTTCACTGCTCAATCCTTCTAATAGGCGATTAAAGTTTGAAAACAGTGTTTCTTGCTCTTTTTTAATTTTCGCCAATGACGGAAGTGGGCGCTGCCAAATTTGAATACGTGCCGATTGGTAAATTTTTTCTCGGGGTTGGCCGTTCAATAAATAATCCGCCCGCCGCGCCCCCATTTTTATGCCAAGAATTTAATCCGGACCCAGGGGAAAAAAGTAGTAAATATTTGTGCCCAATGGCGGCGTTCGCGTTGTCTAGGATCTTTGTCGAAAATAACGGATTAGCCAGGAGATGTACATTTTTTGTGTTTTCAATGAAAAAGCAAAAGGGATTTTTATGAAGAACTTTTTTGTTCTTGAAGTGGATCATTTGAAAGCGCGGTTTGACGATTTGGCTCTGAAAATGTTGAATTTTTGCCCGCTTAAATAGCACTTAGTTTTGAAAATCATCTGCAGATGTTTTCACTTTTTGCAATTGCAGAATGTTGAACAAAGTAGGCAAAAAGGCGTTCTTAAAGG